CAATGGTAGAGTTGTTTTTCCTTTTCTTTCCTCTTCTCTGCCTTTATTTTCACTTGGCTGTTTTATTTTTCGTTTTTTTGCCACAATTTCAGGCAGGAAAAGCCATGTTCGCTTAAATTGTTTGTTGGCTTAATGCCACAATAACGACGCGCTGCCTGCCTGCATGCTGGCTCCAGCGACGGACGATTCGTTTCGTTTCGATTCCGCCGGGAGCACGAGCACTAGCTCGGCTTAGCAATGCGCTGGTATGGGTGCGTGTCCGTCCATGTTTTTGCGTTTGCATGTGTATGTATGTATCCCAGTAGAAAACACGTTTAAATAAAGTCATGCGCATTTGTATGCCGGAATATACAGATTGGAATTGGACTGTGTGTGCTGAATGGGGAAAACTTTTAAAGTCCTGATGCTGTAACACACACACACACACAGGACTAGCATACAGAGGAAAACCAATTGAGGGGGAGGCTCTCTCTGCCTTTACCCCTACCAGAACCAGTGCCAGTGCCACTGCAATTGCAACTGCGACTGCGTCGGCAAGCATTCGAATCGAAGCAAGGGGAGTGGGGACGGGGGACTACTGCAACGATTTAAGGTCTTGGAGCTCGGAGCGTAGCTTGTTTTGCCCGAATTAACGGCTTCCTCTGCTGCTGCTACTCCTCTGCGTTGCGTTCATGACGTTGCGTTCCCGCGTTTTTTGCTGCCTTTTCTCTTCTTTTTGCTTTCCGTTTCATGCATATGCATTAAAGCCGGCTCACAAAATGACGCCAAAAGCTACCACGAGGTTTGCTGCCATGTCTGTGCGCTTTTACGAATAATTAATTGTGTACAAATGTTATGTGCACTTTCAACAAAAAAACACAACGTGAACATTTAATGCTGGGGAAAGTCTAGTGCAGCATTGCATCATAAATTAATGGCAATCGATTTGAACTCTGTCCAGATACATAAATACTGTATGATATTTAACTTCATTTAAACATTTAATTGGTTCGAACGCATTAAAGTTACACTCGAACTTCTCAGATTTGTAAATCGATCGAAATTACGGGGGCAGAAATGTGACGACGGGAAAAGGTGTTTGAAAATTTAAAAAGTGTTTCACCTGAACAGAAACATCTGTCAAAACTTAAGTTCTCTTTACGCCTAGTATTTGTATCCCACTTATTCCATTGAAAACTTCAATGGCCGCGAAACTGCCAGGTGTGCGCAGGCATTGTTGTTTCCGCTGCCAAATGGGGATTATGTATAGTAACGAGTGGTACGAGAATTATGGGAAACAAGCCACTTAATTTGTTGCCTGTGGGACTGACATTGCCCAATGTTTCATTAGTGGTGGTGCTGCTGCGCTTTTTCTACCATTTCGTCTTGCCTTTCCTTTTTGTATTGATTCGAGCGACCGCTCGACTCTACTCTGCGCGAATGACGCAAATCGGAAAAGTGCAAGCTGGCAAGCTGACCGACAGAAGTGACCAGTGACCAGAATAACGAACAAAAAATAAAATAAAACAAAATACACTTTATGTGTGTAGTAAGTATATTTTGCTGCCCTCGCACGCTTACGAATTGCTGATGTTGCTGTTGTTTTCGAAGGCATTTGGCAGCACAGCAGCAGCAGCATCCCGAAAGTGTGTACCGGCCGCCGACTGTTTTTATTTAGACGGGTAAGAAGGGGGCGAAAAATCCGCGTAGTCAATTGGCCCACACAGATCGATACGACGGCGCAGGCCATAAGAGACAGATACAGAGCCAGGAGCCAATGTAGTATGTGTTTGTTTGCATTTGTTTCATAGACATTTAAATTTAAACGTTTGCTTCTATTTCGGTATTTCGGTGGCTTGCTTTCGCTTTGCTTTGTTTTACCCACGCCAGCCACCCCTTCCTCTGTGCCTGTGGTGGCCTGTGCTGGTTGCCAGCGAGTGTGAAATTCTTTGGGCAGGTGTGCATTTTTTTACGCGCGCAGTCAGCAACAAACAAAACGGCAAACACCCATCGAAAATAAAGTAAAATGAAATGATAACATGAAAAACAGAAAGAGAGAGAGGGGGCATGACAAGTGCAGGGTGGTGGGGAATGGGAACTAGCATTGACAATAAATATCTTCTACAGCTGTGTATTGGTGGACTAGGGAGGGGAGCTTTGGGGTGGTGGTGTGGACTGTTTCAGCAGCATAACAATCAAAATTTATTATTGCCCGAAAACGGGCCGTGGCGGTGGAGGAGGAGGTGGAAACGGAACGTTTTCGAGTGCTCTTTTGCCAGACGGAAATGTTGTGTTATGCCAGCCAAGTGATAATAAACGGAACAGCATGTACAGTTTTGGTTTCGATGCAGAATAGCGGGCGGGGCAGCAGTCAGAACAATGCAAATGTTCAAAGGGATATTTCGCTGTATGTTGCCAATTCAGCTTTTTTCTAGATAGCTATTTTCAAGCTATTCGGCTATTTTATTAGCACTTCTACAATAACATTACAAAGAAGGGAACGAGCAAGGGGCAAACGTTCATAACAATCAAATGTAACTGTTGTATTTCTCCCCCAATACTGCCCATTTAGACTTTTCCAAGCTGTTTATCTCCATAGATATTGGCAAAGATAAATATTTTTCTGTACATGCTCAACTGATTTTATACATTCACACGATGTACATTTTATTATTTCAGTTAAAGGTACAACAAAAAAATACACTAATAAATACTCTGCCTTTATTTTTGGGCCCGATCTGTCTACTCCACATAAAGTGGCATCCCTGCAAATCACCAATATTGCCGTTGCAAATATGGGTGGGCGAGGGATCGGGGGACAAGTAGAGTTGCTTCTCTGTCTGCCTTTCCATGTGTGTGCATGCAATTGCATGTGTGTGTGTGTCTGTTTGTGTTTTGAGATGGGTACAGGCACGTCGGACAGTGAAAGGGCAAACCAGCGACAAAAACACGACAAGCGAAAAAATTGTTATAAAGCTAGAAACAAGCGTCAATTTGAATGGGGAAAATAGGAAGGGCTGACAATGTGGGGCCCTAGAGGGTGGGGATGTGTGCACACAATATTTATGAACATTCGACAGTAGCAACTTTATCAAATTTATTTTTCCGACGCAGTCTCTTCGGCTATTTCAGAGTGTTTGTGTAAGTGTGTGTGTATGCGCATATAAACAAAACACAATGCGAAAACGTAATTCCAGGCAGCCATGGATTTCCAATCAATATGCAGGCAAAACTATTTATATCCATCCACTCAGCGTGCCCAGCGCCCCGACTGACCAACCAAACCATTCAAGAGGGAAGAGATAAAACTTTAATGCGCACACGTCACGAGAACGAGAGTGGGGCCGGCCCGGCCCAGCTTTAAGCGATTTAAAGCGTCGCTCGGGCCAGGTCGCTCAGTCATTTTCAAGTGTTGAACGAGAAGGGGAAAAGGAACGGGTATCACAAGAGGTGGGCGGGGGCTCCAACAAGGAGGCACTTTCACCCTTTAAAGGACCAAAAACCTCGTAGAAATGTGTCAACACGGCCCCGGGGTCCGAGGAGAACCGAACTGAACTGGCTTTAGTTTACAGGCTGCTGCCTCGCTCTGACTCCCGCGCTAAATGCGGCGGCGGCAAAACAACGATGAGACAGCATGTTGCAGTGGTGTGGGTACTGTATAACCATGCCAGGGAAAGGGGAGGGGTCGTTGCGCAGTGAACCTTGCGTGTATATTGTCACTCGGCAGGCAGGCAGGCACAGCACAGGCAGCCGCAGGGGCAGCGGCAGAAGGCAAAAAGAAGAAATAGACACAAACGCATATTTCAATCGTACGAATGAATGTGTATCTGTGTGCGGGTCGAGTCGTACGGGAAATTATTGCACAATTTTATTTATGTTTTGCAGAGAATATTAAGGCACGCACACTCACTCACTCACTCACTTACTCAGCAGAACTGTGCATTAAATTAAAACAACGCGTTGTTGTGTGTATCGTGTACATACTCACTCACACAAGCACACACAAAATAGTTCCGCTTTAAAAATTCATCAGAATTCTGCACGTTTAAATTTTTCTTGTACACGTTTATCGCGCACACACACTCGCACGCATACACATACACATACAGGGGTTAATGCAAACACACGCATACTTTAGTTTGAGTTGGTGGCAAACAAAAAGACAAATCAAATAAATAGGTATCCGTGAAAATGCAGCAGCAACCAGAGAATAGTATTATTAAACAGCGACGCACATATTTTTCGCTTATTTTATTGCTTTTTCCTTTTTCTTTGTGGTGGCGGCGACGGCGGCGTCCGCAGCAGTATCGTTTTTTTGCGAGTTTGCAATTGGACGAAATTCACGTGCCAAACACAATGCCACACACTATTTTCGAGTAGAAACACTTGGCGGCCATGTTTATACACAAGTTGTTTCTATTTTTCATTAATTATAGGCACTTTTTAGATAGTTTTCAACAATTTTTTTACCAGCAACGCGTCCAAATTCCACTCGCAGCTTTCAAAATGGCGGAATACGAATACGGCAAATTTTTAGTTTTTAGTACAGCAATGACGCGATGCGATGCTACTTGGTACCGCGATGCTACTCGTTGCCGCGTATTGTATGCATGCGCTCCCACAGCTCGACCAAATTTAACACACCTGCGACTATTTATTTATCCAACTTATCACAATTAAATTAATGTTAAATTGCACAAGATTTTATTCGAATAATATATTTCATTTCCTTCTTCCACTTGCACACTAGGGCTGCAAGACCATCGATGGCACTATCGATGGTTTTAGCTGTGTGATAGATCGATGGTTTTTTTCGACCATCGATATATCGCAACAGAATAAAAGTAGGATTTCAAAGTCTAGAAAATTAATTAAGCGCACTTAAAAAGAATGTGGTCCCCAAACTCTTTAATCAGAAATTCTTTAATTATTTGATTTGTTTTTTAAAGCAATCCGAACGCAGTTGGCACCAAGCGGCAAGTATCGGCAGTATGGAATGCACCGCAGCGATGTATCGATGACATCGTCATTTCGTTTGTGCAGGAAAAGAAGAGGAACAAAGCAAAACACAAAGAAAGGCAAGAACGGCGAGAGGAGAGCACTGGATAAATTGGAAACTACTGAAAGTGATTAAAAGCAGCCTTTCCTTCGAACCACATCGCCAACATGTCAGCCAGAAGAGCAACCCACGCAGGCAGCTGGTACACGGATGCAGGTCAGTAACTGCCGATGGGGAGGAACAAAACACATACATACATATGTATGCATACATATGTGGGCGTGTGAATATCCACACACATATAATGCTTACATACAGTCATTTGTGTACACGTATGTAAGAATTTTATTTTTATTTGATAAAATAAAGACCCAAAAGGAACATTGTTCAAAACGATAGTTGGCTTATGTCGCAGGGGTCAACGTGTAATGAGTAGAATGGAGTTTAAAAATTGGATTCCGGCTTGTTGCCAACCGCATTGCGTATCTCGTCCATGCGATCGTAGGCAATCTCTGTGGCCCAGCAGAGGCGCTTCTCCAGTTCATTGCTGCGCCGCCGCTGCTGTTTCAGTGCGTCCAAGCCGTGCTCCAGCTGCGTGCAGGCCTGGAAGAACGTACTCAGCTCCGGAATGTCCCCAAACTCCCCGGGGTGACGGCGGAAGCCCTCGCTCACGTCCGTGGTCAGTTTGTCCAGATTATTCTTCACGTAGTGGGCCTCGAACATCTTGTGCAACTCATCGGTGGCCACCTTGCCCACCTCGTTGGTGGAGCTGTTCAGGTGCAGGTCGCGTATGCGGCTCTTGAGGCCGCTGAAGTTGATTGACTCGAATTTCTCGCCTATGCCCTGGAACAGCTCGTAGCTCTGCTTCAGCTCTACCTGCATCTTCTGCAGGTCTCCGTCGATGCTCTTGACAGCTGACGAGTCCATGAACTCGGTTCGAAGAGTGCGATCCGTGGGCGGGACATCCCACTTGCCACCGTCCAGGGCAGCCTTAAGCGACGCAGAAGAGGATGATGTCGCTGGATCCGACTTCTTTCTCTGGGCATCCCCACCAGCTAGACGTGCCTCTGCTGCCTTTGTACTGTCATCCCGCTTGTGTGCCGGCTGTGGGGGGAATGTCACGGACTTCTTTGGCTTGCCATTTGCCTGTCTTCCGGGACCAAAGATGGGCAGCGGATTGGGCTTCAATAGTGTTTCATAAGACAACTTTCGCTCTGGATCTTTCGCCCTGCCATGACGAGAATATCGCAAGACCACTAGTATCTGGGGAAATCAAATGGAGGCGAAACTTACTCTTCCGCCAGAATGGCCGTCAGTTCATTGTGTATGCGCTTCAGTAGCTCATCGCTCTGCTTGTCCTTTGCGATATCCATGTCGTAAAATATTTGTAACTAAAATTTATGGAAATATTCAGTCGCTGCTATTTTGTATGAGTTTGCTCTGCTCTAGCACTGAACAGGAAGTGTTCAACTCTGTTGTTTGTGTGCTGCTAGGCAACTCCTGGGCAGCCTACTCTGTTATTCACGACTAAGTTTGTTTAATTTGTTTGCAGGTTCCGAGCTATCCAGGCAGTTGGATCGCTGGCTGGGTGCCGCAGAGCTCTCGCATGGCCCGGCCCGTGCCATCATTGCACCGTGAGTCAAACATCAAAGTTGTTGTGGAAGGGTTCCACTTGACTACTTTTTGGCACTTCACTTCACTTCCATTGCAGACATGCCGGCTATACCTACTGTGGGGCCTGCTCAGCCTTTGCCTATCGCCAGGTCAGCCCCGTTGTTGTGTAAGCAAACAGATTCGAAGCAGGCAGGATCCGCATCTTTAATTGGCTTCTTTGCTTGCAGCAAACGCATCTTCATTCTGGGTCCCTCGCATCATGTGCGCCTGCGCGGTTGTGCCCTGTCCGTGGCGAAAAAGTACAGGACACCTCTCTACGATCTCAAAATTGATACTCAGAGTGAGTTTCCTGGCTCTCCGCAGGCTGTCCTAGCTAGCTGCTGGAATCATTTCTCATTTTCTATTTTAGTCAACGCTGAGCTGGAGAAGACGGGCCAGTTCTCGTGGATGGACATGAAGACGGACGAGGACGAGCACTCCATTGAGATGCATTTGCCCTACATAGCCAAGGTCATGGAGGAGTAAGTTGAACAATTTAAGCCTTCTATTAATAGAGGGTAAACCAAATAATGGAAGGTCGCTCGTAACGATTCTTCCGGCCCAAGCCGAGGGCTAGACTTGATTCCCCTTTGTATGCTAATCAAGAAATGTATTCCCTGTCTTTGGTGCAGCTACAAGGACCAGTTCACCATTGTGCCTATACTGGTGGGATCGCTTAATCCCGAGCAGGAGGCGCAGTACGGCAGCCTGTTGTCCGCGTACTTCATGGACCCAACCAATCTGTTTGTGATATCCTCCGACTTCTGCCATTGGGGTCAACGCTTTAGCTACACATACTACGATCGCTCCTGCGGCCAGATACACAAATCCATTGAGAAGCTGGACAAGCAGGGTATGGACCTCATCGAGACGCTGAGCCCCACGGCGTTCACCGAGTACTTGAGGAAGTACAACAATACGATATGTGGCCGCCATCCCATCGGTGTGATGCTGGGCGCCGTCAAGGCCCTGCAGGATCAGGGCTACGACAAAATGAGCTTCAAGTTCCTTCAATATGCCCAGAGCAGTCAGTGCGTGGACATGGAGGACTCCAGCGTCAGCTATGCCTCCGGTTCCCTTGTCTTTGAGTTTTGAATGCACTCTCTAAAGTATTTTGTCAGCTATCCCGCAACATCCCTCCCCTTTGTGGATTTAAGTATAAAGAGATTTTTAAATTTAAAACTAGCAGAAAATTAAAGAAATTTAAAAAATGAAAAATAAAAACCAATTATTATCACATATCTTCTCGTAGATCAAGAGTTCCATCTAAGTAAATTTTCTTTTATTTTTTTCGCTTTTTTGTTGAAACATCGAAATTGACTTTTAAGCCATTTTGAATCATTTCTTGGATCCGTTTCCTGTTTTTTTCATTTTGTTTAATTTAATTTACGTTTCTTTTCTCTTATCAATGAAATGTCTGCGTAATGGGGCGTGGCGCTATCGTGGGGCGTGGCTACCGCGTGGATGTGTGTGAAGGATGCGTTGGGTTCTCTTTTTGTGTTGGCCATGCAGCAAGTTTTGTCAGCGCCTCCGATCCGTTGTGTGCTTACCACCAGGAGGCAGCGGCGGCTGCGCCTCCAGCTGTTGCATCCGCCACGGTTGCATCATTCGGGCCGCCTCCAGTTCCGTTCAGACGCGAGCACTGCTCGGCATCGCTCGCTATCTGCAGGGCATTCATGTTCTGGACAAAGGTCTCCAGAGCTGCCGCATTCTCGTCGGGACTGTATGGCGACGTGCGCTGGCTGAGCGGACTGCGGCGCAGAAATTCGTTCAAATCGCTGGCCACGCTGGCCGCCTTGGACTGCTGGCTGGCCGACTCAAAGTCATAGACAAAGGGATCCGGACCGGGACCCGCCGGCGGCTGTGACAATCGTGGCATCATGCCGCTCTGCACAAACAGGTGGGAATCTGCCAAAGAGTTAGGGGTTAGGGTTAGGTTTTTCCCTTCGCTTTAATCTTATCATCTGATGTGCACTCACCACTGCCATAGTCTGCGCCTACGCTATCGCAGTAGCTTCCGCTGGAGGAGACCCCCGTCTGCGATGACTGCTGCTCGTAGGGATTGGCATTGGAGGAGTGCTGCACCCGGTTGCCAAACACACTGGTTATCTCCACGCGATGCGGCGCCGGCGATGTGTTGTTGCGCGTGAAGTTGGACTCCGAGATATTGTGTATCGAGACCTGCGAATGGAAGAGATCATTGGTTGAGATCTTGCGACAGCTAAGTTGGAGTTGATTAAATTTAATTTCAGAATGAGAATATAGACCACGATGGCTCTACTTTATGGAGGAATATTTGGAATGCTTTGAATCGCTTTCTTAAGTGAAAATATTGTTTCAAAATAGCACAAATTCCTCTTTGAACAATTTAAAAAATAAAATAAGGCACCAGCATGCCCGTTTCATTTATTTTATAGTTTTTCTTTCGATGCAGGTGTGTTGGGAGGCAACGCAAAATATATTGTTTAATGTTTCAGAGCCTCAAGACGAGAAGTACGAGGCACTTAATGGGGAAAAGAAGTTCGTTTGCTTGGCTACGTTTGGGATGCTCGCACCCTGACTCTGAAAGTAGCAATAGTAGGGTGCATAGGATCGCCGCTGTCTGTGTCTCAGTCTCTGACGCTGAATCTGAAAATTGTGATAGTAGGCTGCATATTCTGCACACACCTCGTTGTTGAGATGCTGTCCCGGTATCAAGTTCTTGAGGAAGGCGGCGTCGTCGTAGCGTATGACGCCAGTGTTGGGTATGCCCTCAAGGTAGGAATTGAAACCAGTGATGGTGGGCGGCGGCGAGTCGTCGCCACAGCTATGATGCATAGCATGACAGTCGCTTTGTCCGCTGCTCTGTCCTCCACACGGCACCTGGGAGGGACTAGCGGAGAACACATCGAAGCCGTTGTAGTAGCTCGACTGCTGGTACTTCTCCTGCAACACGGAACCGCCTGGTCCTACGCCTGGACCATACTCCGGCTGCTGTTGCTGCTGCTGCTGTTGGCCAAAGCTGGACCATTGGCTCGACGAGGTGGCGGCGGCTGTCGAGTGGCTGTCTTTGGTCTTTTGCTTCAGCTCGCTGCCAATGGCGGACAGACACTTCTGTGACTGCTTTGGACGGGCGATCACCGCCGCCTCGCCCGTCAGCCGTCCAGGGCTGTTGGCGGAGCCACTGCCCAGGGGAACGTTTGTACAGCTAATACTGATATTGTTGTGCGTTCCGTTGCCGTTGGTGCCACTGCCACTGCCACTGCCGCTAACCGAACCACTGGAGAAGTATGAGAAATCGCTGGAAGCCGCTGCCACAGAGGAGCTGCTGCTGCTGCTGTGACTGGAAGCCGCAGCCTGCTGTTGCTGCTTCTGCTGTGTGGCCCGCGCTGCCTCGGCCGCCGCCTCCTGGGGCGTGTAGTAGCTGACATTGCTGCTGAACTGACGGAAGCCGCCCATGGCCAGGCCATTTGTGACAGCCTGGTGCAGGGCCGGATTGCGTATGGTGAACATTCCGTTCTCATTCTTAATAATCGCCGCAGGCGGATCCACGCCACCCATCGGTGGGGGGGCAGCGGGCAGGCCACCGCCAAAGTTTCGTGCTGTAAAATGTTTGCAAAATTTTGTTAATATTTTCATCCATTTCGCGGCGAGGATGCACTTACCCGGCGTTGGCATGGGATTCGGATTGGGCGGCATCATGCTGCCGGCGACTGCTGCTGGCCCGTTGCCCTGATGGAACATGGGATTGCGCAGGGTGATGATGTTACCCCCAGCACTGGCCTCGATGGTCGCTGCGTTTGCTGCTGCTGCTGCGGCGACAGCCTTTTGGTGATCCCCTCCTCCGCCGCCAGCCCGCTGCTTATTGGCACCGCCCCCGGAGTTACCTCCACCAGCACTGCCGCCACCGGACTTGCCACGATTGCGACGACGGCGTCGGGAGGATTTGCCACTGCCACTGGCACTCGCCGCTGAGGCAGCCGCTGCCACATTGGAGGCGGCAAAGGACTGGCTATTGCGATTGGGACGTGGATTGGCCTCCACCATGATGACGGCATTGGGATCCATTCCGGCGGCACCTGCTGCCCCGTAGTAGCCAGCCATGAGATGTGACTGTTGGAAGGTATGCTGCTGGAGGTGCTGCTGGTGCTGATGCTGCTGCTGTTGCGGCTGATCGACCAACGGCTTGGACAGCAGACGGATGGACTCGCTCTTCTGGCGCAGCTGCTCGCTCTTGGCTGGATCCACCTTGGTGAGCGTTATGCCCGGCGGCAGGGACAGATGCTCCACCTGAACGCCGCGATTCAGTTGATCCATAATGCTGCAGTTGGGCGACTGCTGCTGCTGCAGTTGCTTTGATGACGAGGAGGGATTGCTGATGCGCAAGTGCTGCATTTGCTGGGCCAGAGTGCTCGCATAGCTGCCACTTCCGGCACTCCCGGGGGCATGTGGCGCCGCCGCTGACATGGCCGGTGGAATGGCAACTTCGTTGGGATTAAAATAGCCCATGTTGTGTGGAATGCCAGAGAGATCTTCTATCGGAAGGGAAAGAGAGGAGAACACACTGACTCACTTGTGTCTGCTGCATGAGTGGATTTCTAGTACATACCCTGCTTCTGGCGATGTCCGCGCTTGCCGCGCTGCGATCGCTTTGCTGCACCGGTTGGTGCTGTACTGGCTTCTCCCACATTCGAGATGGAATCGGAGTGTTGCAACTGCTGTTGCTGCTGCTGTGGCTTTGATCTACCACTGCCACGACCACCGCGTGCTGACTGCTGCTGATGGGGCTGCGGCTGCTGCAACTGCTGTAACTGCTGCTGATGCGGTTGCTGCTGTTGCCGATCGGCATGCCCCTGAACTTTTTGCTTTCTTGAGGACTCTGTGCTGCGCTGCGCCTGTGTCTTGGCAGGCTGCTGCTGCTGTTGACTCTGTGCCGTCTTGGTCGAGGAAGCGGCGCCCTTGCGTGGATTAGCACTCGTCTGTGGCGGATTCTTGGAAACCTGCGATTGCTGGGACTTTTGCGTCACAGGCTCCGACTTCACGTGCTTAACGGGAGCCGGAGCCGGAGTGGCAGCTGCTTTCGGCTTGCTGGCCAATGGAGGGACAGCAGAAGGAGGGGGCGCCTGTTTCGGCGCCAACACTTTGGGAACCGCCTTAGGAGGAGGCGGCAGGACAGGCATCTCCTCCGACTCGCTGGCTGTGGAACAGTCACCCTCCGAAGAGTCCTGCATGTGAAGCGACTTGAATGGATTATTGTCAAGCTGTCCCTGATCCAGCCTGGGCTTGACGCGCTTCTGTTTTTTTGGGGGCTCTGGCAAGGGCGTGGCCTTGGGCTTGGCCTCTGTGGGCCGCACTTTTGTCGGTTTCACCTCCGCCGGAGCAGTCTTGGCAGACTTTTTGCTCGTTGCAGCCTTCGGTGGTACGCTGCAGACGGAGTTCTCCCGCGTGTTGACGGCACTGCTTTGTGGTGTGTGGGATTTGGAGCTGCTGTTGGAGCCAGAACTCGAAGCACCCAGCACAGCTGCCACAGCCTTCTTTTTCTGTTGTTTTTTGTTGCTCTTGGCGGCGTTGTTCTGACTCTTTGCTTCCTGTTCAGCGGCTGCAGCAGCTGCAGCAGCAGCAGCAGCAGCAGTGGCAGCAGCAGCAGCCGCGGTAGCAGCAGCCGCCGCTGCTGCTCTCTTAGCCTCTTTCTTCTTGGCCTTGGCACTCTTCTCCGGAACACTGGGAGCTGGCGGAGGCTGCTGCCGTGGATGCGGGGAAGCAGCTGCAACTGTGTCGGGATGAGCCGAGGCCACCATATGCCCGTTGACGAATGTATAGAGCAGCTTGTCCTCGTGCGGGGCGCTGCCCTTGGCGACCACAGTCACCTGCTGCTCGGCCCCTGGATGGGGCAGCTGAACACGTCGAATGGTCACAATGCGCTTCGAGGGATCGGCAGTGATGGAATGGAACAGTTGTTGTTGCTGCTGTTGGGGCGGAGCGTAGCAGACCGAAGGAGTGTTCTGTTGTCCCGGAAAGAAGGAGGTGGTGGGGCATTCGCTGCTAAAGTCTGGATACTGGAGTGTGGTGGTCGCTGGCTGTGCGGGCTCGGCGCCGCTGGTGCAGCGTCCCTTGACGATCTCGTCCAGCTTGGCCAGCTGCTGCTCTTTCGTGGGTAGGTAGGAGAACTTGAAGTCGCTGTTGGCCTGCTTCACGGTGGCAATCAGCTCCAGTATGCCCGTCTCTACCTTGCCCTTGGCCCTCTGGAGATTCTTGATGTTGGCCTCCAGCTCGCTGATGCGCTTCTTTTCGCGCTTTCGGCCGCCAGCAGCCGTCAGGGCCTTCATCTCGTACTTGTCGACGAACTCCTTGAAGTAGATGCCAAGGAACTGGCTGCGCAGATCCTCCAGCTCCTTGATGCGCTTCTCCTCCTCCCTGCGCTGCTTCTGCTTGGCCTTCTTGGCCGCCTTCTTCGGGTTCATGGTCTGCGGCTGCTGTGACTTGCCCTCGATAAAGTTCAGAGTCTCGTGGATCCAACGCTGCTGATCCTGCTCGCGCGTATAGCTGCCCAGGAACTCGGCAAAGTCGTGCATCATCTCCTCCTTGGTGTAGTCGCCGGGATAGCTGTTGGTGGTGCTGCCACCCTCAAGAGCAGCCCCCTCTTCATCATCAGCTACATCTCCATCGTCATCATCATCATCATTACAATCCGCAGCTGTGGCTGCATCCGGCTGCACCGGTATGCTCTTGCAGAGGCTGTGCAGGCACAGCAGACTGTCGTTGTTCCGCTTGCCCTCATCCCCCATCTCGTTTAGGGCTGCTGGCGCTGGTGTTAGAGCTGCCGCCGGAGCAGATAGGCTCGACTGCAGTTGAGCGGTGGCACAAACTTTCAGAGTGGGCGGATTGTTCTGCACGGACTCCGCTTTGGGTGGGCGTTTTGGTGGGTTCGCTGCGGATGCAGCTGCGACTGTGACTGCCTCAAGCTCTGGCTTCGCCTTGGCCTTGGCTGGTGCAGGTGCAGGAGCTGGAGCAGGAGCAGCAGTTGGTGTGGGCGGAGTGCCCGCCTCTTGGGCATTCTTGCTCTTCCGATCGTTGACAATCTGCGACAACTTCTTGCGAAGGCGATCGCGAGTCTCGTTGTAGCGCGCATGGCTGCACTCCTTCTTCACGCGCTTCTTCGAGTGATTCTCCTTGCACGGCTCCCCAATGTCCGCGTAGTCAGCACAGCCTAAAGACCAAAATGTTGATGAGAATTCATTCATGCATGTTCTGAAAACCCAAAACTCAAAGCCCAACTTACACTTGCGCATCTTCTCTTTGCTCTTCTTGGAGCCGCCACCATCGTTGGATCGACCGCCCGGCTGCGTCATGGTCATGTCACTCGCCTTCGACTTGGACGCGCCCAAGCCAGTGGTGCTGTCCGGCTTGCTGCGTTTGCTGCAACACCAAAATCAAAATCAAAATTAATCGGCTAATAAACCCCCGCAAAGGGAAAAAGCATTTTGTTACCACTTACATTATCTGAGAGTCGTGCAACATCATCAGTTGATCGACGCCAAATTGCATTTTCTCTATATTGGCATCTCCCAGCGTGAAACTGGAATTGGGAACAAACGATTTATTGCAATTATTGTAAAATCCTGATTATCCTGCACAAATTTAAACGAATTGAAGTGGTGGAGTGGAATGTGTTTCTGTCTACAGGCTAAAGCTGTCAGTGGCTGACACATTTGAAGCTACATGCAGCAGCCTTCTACGTTTACGTTTCCCTTGAGTGACATTTTCCTCAAAGTAGAGCGTGCATATAGCATGGAGAAATCTGCTATAATGCGGCACTGGGACTACATCCTGCGCGCACCAGTTGAACCCCACCTGCTTTGGTCATGTCCTTCTCCCTTGGCCTACCAGCAGCCAAATAATTCACACAACTCCGCGTTGAGCCTGTCCTGGGGGTTCTACCAAAGAGAAGGCGCTGTCATAGCCATGTTCCGGCAGAGATTAAAGGCCTCTGATCAGGCCTCCCACCACGAATGCTACTTTTAATTTAGACTCAAGCCCCGTCCCCAACCGTTTCTTTCATCTGCGTTAAATCATATTTCAAAACTTACTCGTCGGTGATCTTGAAGGGAGAGTATCTGCAATAAGTATATAGATACATCTCAGTGGATGGATGGATGGTAGATTCGGTTGGGAATGCTTACCCAATAACCTGTGCTAGAAACTGCTCGAAACGGCCGTCGTCCTTGTCGCCGACAACACTGTTGAGCCGCAGTCGCAGATCCCCCTTGAGCAGCTCCAGATGCTTGAAGTCCGTGCTGTTGGAGTTGAACTTGACAAAGAAGTTGGCATAGATGGACAGGACAAAGGTCCAGTAGGTTTTGTACACATAGTGCTGGTTCTTCAGCTCCTGCAGCTCGGCGGGACTCGGCGCCAGCTTGCGGTTGAAGAACATCAGCGATGGCAGCGTGGAGCGCAGCTCTTCGCGCGTGAACGACAGCGGCTGAAAGCAGCGCAGCAGATACTTCGTCAGCGGCGGCGACAATTGATTGGCAAGAATTTTGCGTGCCAACTGGCAAGCTGAGACGCGACAGTTCTCGCCGCAGAAGTACTGAGACTCGATGGCCTCGTGTCGGTAGCGCTTGCGCGTGGTCAGATGCTGGAACACGGCCCATGCAATGTGATATGTTGTGCGGAGAATGTCGGTCTCCGACTGTCGCCGGAACACCGCACCACTGCCGCTGGGCTGCTCGTCGACAGCAGTGTCGGGGGGCAGCTCGCTGCAGCGCCGCTGCTGGGCTGCCAAACTGGTGCTGGCTGCCGCTGCCGTTGCCACATTGTGCTTAGCCTCATCGCTGGTGCAGGTGCTGAGAATCTTCGATTTCATGAGCTTCGCATCCTTTTCAACAATCCCGAGCGTCGTGCACTTGGCGCAGTGGCCAGCCAGCCGCGGTCGCAGCGGAGTGCCGGCAATGGAGCAAGTGATGCATTTGCAGTTCCTGCCACAAGGATAGAATGAATCGATCGATTAATAAGAGAGGGAGACAATAAATGAGGGAGGCGGAAGTACTCGTACTCGTGATGGTGTTCCAGCAGCGAATTACACTTCTTGCATAGATCCTCGTGCACGAGCTTGTTGGGTGGATCGTAGAAGCCGTCGGGCCACTTCAGTTTGGTGAAGGCCATGATGTTCTTCCAGGCCAGCTGCCGGTCGACGATGCGCTGAAAGTCGATGAACTCATCGTCGCTTATGTCGGGCAGGGAGAAGGAGGTGGCATCGAGGACGACCTTGTCGAATATGTTATACACATCCAAGAGGCCCATCCGGCGATCGTGCTCCGTTTCCGACAAGTTAAACTTGTTAAGCTCGATCCAAATGTCCGTCCAGCGGCGTTCAATCGAGTGCATGTGCTCGTCGAACAGCATATAGCGCTTGATCAGCGCCGTTGTCTGCACCGAGGGGGCGGCCTCCTTCAGCGACAGGATGCATGCCAGCATGGTGTCACCCAGCGGCGTGAAGACATGCTGCTGGAACAGTCGCTGGCACAGCAGCACCCACGACAGCTTAAACTTTCGCAGGAAATCATTCTCGAACGCAAACAGACTGAGCGAGATTTTCTGTGAGATGCAATTCAAGTCGGAGTAGCCATCAAGTATATCTGGAATGGGTGAACCAGACAGTAGAATTAATTTGACAAACAAACAAATCAATCGTCGTTGATTTCCACATACATGTCAGCATCCTCTCGGCGGATATCTTCTCGTTCTCCTGCACATTCTGGGCAATCTCAATCATGCCCTCGGAGAAGGCCTTCACAATGCATTCCACATTGTAGGCGAGTATTTGCAGCAATAGCATCGGATTGTTGGCCATCAAACTGTGGGGGATAGAATTACACGAGCAGTTGATTATATGCGAGTAAAGAAATAAACAAAGGTGTGCTATAGGGGCGCTTACATGGCGCTGAAAAGCACTAATATCATGTTATCAGAGATCGCTGTATCATCAATAAAATCAAGATATTCGGCATTCTTATCGTATAGATAGCCGCTGGTAATCCAATATATTTCCTTATTGCATTCAAGCAGCTTCTCAAACTTGTTGTAGGCAGCATCGTTTCTATTAAAAATCAAAAGAAAGGAGAAAACCCAAATTGTGGTAATAGTTATGTTTCGGGTTGGATGCTGGGCTGGGTGCTGCTGCTTGAGCTGCCCTTACTTCAACATGGGGCTGTAGGCCTTGATTAGTACATCCAGCAGCATAACCACCATGTGTGCAGCCTTAAATTGATCCATCATGATGGCCATGATGGTTTCGCGATATTCGAGACATTCCTTGCAGGAACAGAATGTGAAGAACTCATCCTTGCGATGCTTCACAAATATAAAGGCAAGATTCTGGAAATAAAGCTAAAATCCATTAGGATTACGCACTGGGGCACTCTGACTGGGCACTGTGTTCCATGCAAAGCAACGAAACGCACCGTAATTGCACGCAGCTGTCCGTCGGCATCGCGCAGCGGATTCTTTGGATCCTCCGAGAACAGTCTCATGTTCTCAATGGCCATCTACAGAGCAGGGATACACGATTATAAGTGGATGGAATGTAGGTCCACCATTGTAGGTCAAGATCTCTCTTTCTCTTACCAAATACGAGCGCGCCTCCTCGTTGGGATCGTTGCTCTTGTGCTCGCACTCGTGCAACAATTTGTCACTCAGCTCCAGCTCGATGGCGTTGTCATCCCGCAGGCTCCATTGCATCAACGACACCACATCCTTGTAGACAACGTCCGATTTGGGTGGCGGTGCGTATGGATCGAATGGCGGCAGGGCCAGGATCGTGTGCAGCGTGTTGATTATGTTGCCCTCCGGGAAATTGAGACGCTCCAACAGCTGGCACGGTGGCGTGCCGCTCCGTGCCGGCATCGCCTGGTTGGGCGGTGGCGACGGCAGCTGTGCAGCCACTTTGGCGTGAGCGTGGGGGTGGGCGGGGGAAAGAGTGCTGGCAGAGTCATCGTCAGCAGCATCTGCGTCGGCGGCGGCGGCAGCGCCCAGGGCAACAGGCAGTGCAGCCGCCAGGGCATCACATTTCAACGGCACAAAGAGCTCGCCACATAGGCGCGGTGTGGCCGCATCGATGGACATTTTCATGCTCACATGATAGCAGGAGGCGTCCAGCTCACCGTTAATAGCCTCCCCAGAGTCTGGGGGCTCCTCGTCGCTGCCTGAGCTGAGTGCCGCCTCCTCTGACGCCTCCAAATCGGAACACTTGGGCAGCATTTCTTTGGTGTGCGCCAACGCCAACGCATTTTCCACTTGCTCGGCCATTCGATTTCACTTCGTTTGTTGTTACACTTGGAATCCAAATTCGAATCCGAGTCCCCAGTATCAGTCCGAACCAAGGATCACTTGTTAATCTTTGGTGCAACAGAAATTTGCGTATGCGCGACGCATTATTATACAAATCAAATCACAGATAGATGCACTTCCACTTTCACTCGTCGCCTTTGCCTCTGTCGTTGTGTGTATGTGGCCGCGGATGTGTGTTGTGTTGTGTGTATGTTCACATGCGTGTGTGTGCTGCTGTAAGGTAACACACACAAAATGGAAAAGAACGCAACGCGTTTTTCCCCACAACGCGCGCGACGAATAGTGCGCCTTTCCTTGCCAATACTCTGTTGCTTGCTCTTATTACAATGCCATACGATTACCAAGTAGTTCGACTGCGTTGCAGTTCTATTTTCTATTTAGTTTGCAAGTGGATTTGTTTGGGATTTTTCGTTTTGTTTCGCTGCTGCAATTCAATTGCAATTTTTCTGCTGTGTATGTGTGCAGTGTGGCCGCGAATTTGTCGATCAAATATACCGCCTAACCCTCAAAAATATACATAACAAGGTAACAAGGTATATTGTCATTATCAAAATATACCCGTTGATATTCCTCGATTTTGATATTCGGTTTAATATTACCAGTTAGTTTGCACACTTTGCCCTAAAAAAATAATTTTTTCCCATTCATCACTAAATTTTGTACAAGATTCACTAGTTTTCAGAACTTCTTTTCATTGGATTGTTTACACAATATGGTTCAAATAAAAACGGCCAAAAGCATAAAACTTAAGAGTGAACTATGGTCACATTCCGTCATTTTTGCTGGTCAACCAAGTTTCTGCAAGTGTATGGACATTTGTATACCTTATTTCCTTAAACAAACGTTAAATTTGTTGTTCCAAGCTTCTTTGAAACGTTAATCATGTATTTGTATTAGATTACATGTTTATTACAAATTCATGTATCCCATCCCGTTCCCGATACCTATTATTGGTACGCAAAAGCAGCAAAATTTTGTTAATAACTTTAAAACAGAGACTGAGTAGTTTTTGCACCAATTGGAGCCTGAAATTATAAAACAATATCTCAATTCTATAATATCCATTTTCCCAAGGTATGCAGATTCGTTGCTCATTAATGTTATTGCGCTGCAAAATAAATAAATAAATAAGTTTACCTTATTATCAGCCAAGTAAATAATGGCATTAATTTCTCTTTAGCACTTCCATTGATTGAAAATAGATTGCTCAGTATTTGAAATTCCCGCTGCGCTTGTTTATGGATCTCTGCAACTGTTCAATTCGCAAATTAACTTTTGAACCAAATAATTGTGGTTGTTTTTCAAAATTTGCTCTCTTTTTCGAGGTGAACAGAGCACTTTTCGTGTCCGTCAGTACGTACGTCAGTAAGTTAACTTAATTAAGTTCCAATCTATTTTTGATGGTATATCAAAGTACCTTTCGAAATGACCGCCAAACTCCATTTAGCGCACAAAAAATACCGACACTTATTCGCTCTCAAATCGTGGTGGAATTAAAAATTTCTACGAAATTTATCGTAACTTTAACATATTTTACGCCTTACAGGTGAAAGATTTCGATGGGCATTTTTGTTTTGTAAGTAAAGATGAGGATGGAGCTACAAGGGGCCTTTACAAACAGTATTTTTTTCGCGGTTTCGCAAACTGTGCTCAACTTTTTAAATAGAGAGGGGGGGCGATCGCCGGACTGTCGTGGTTTTTTTATGGTATGGTATTTAAACTGATATTTTTCGAAACTGAAATGGTATTTAATGGTATTTTTTTTGCCCAGATGGTATTTTTATAGTTATCGTCACGGTCACGCTGACTCCGCGTGCTTGCTCAATTAATAAAAGTTATTTAGAAAATAAAAATAGCCATGGATGATGAGGCTGAAACATACAAACTGTGGCGCATTCGCAAGACGATCATGCAGCTGAGCCACGATCGCGGATATTTGGTGACGCAGGACGAATTGGACCAGACGCTGGAGCAGTTCAAAGATATGTTTGGTGACAAGCCAAGTGAAAAAAGACCGGCCAGATCCGATCTCATCGTGCTGGTAGCCCACAACGACGACCCCACTGATCAGATGTTTGTGTTCTTCCCGGAGGAGCCGAAAATCGGCATCAAGACAATCAAAACCTATTGCACCCGTATGCAAGAAGAGAACATTCATCGAGCTATCGTTGTGGTCCAGGGCGGCATGACACCCTCGGCCAAGCAATCACTCGTTGACATGGCCCCCAAGTACATTCTGGAACAGTTTCTCGAGTCTGAGCTGCTGATCAACATCACTGAGCACGAACTGGTGCCGGAGCATGTGGTGATGACCGTGGAGGAGAAGCAGGAGCTGCTCAGTCGCTACAAGCTGAAGGAGAACATGTTAATGCGAATCCAGGCCGGCGATCCAGTGGCTCGTTACTTCGGTCTTAAGCGTGGTCAAGTGGTGAAGATTATCCGTTCCTCGGAGACAGCCGGTCGATATATCTCCTATCGCCTCGTTTGCTGAGAGGTCGCCGAGTGAAGTCAAATTATCTTATAAATTAGTTTAATAAAGCACAAACAAATAAAATAAAATTCTATAATCCGAACTAACGGTTACAGGGTGATATGTGTGTGTACGAGGGCGCCTGGTGGAATCAGAGTCTGTTTAGCTCTCGCAGCTTATAGAGCTTGTAGAATAAATATAAAACCGGTTCGATTGCTCTCAGAGCACACATCAAATACATTCTCTTATCAAATATATTGGATTTGTGAGCACGGTGCATTTAAAGGGATGGATGGGACGTTTGTCTCAGTCTGAGTTCGCAGCCAAGCAAGGCGGATGCTGGAGCTTAACGAGCTAATTGCACAATAAATCCAAGTATAGAGTACCATGCTATCTTCTTCACACTTGCTCATCTGCCTAATCTGGTGGCCGCAATTGTTATTTGTTGTGCAAGGTGATGACATGATTGAGGTTTTCAAGTGGAAGCAGATGGACTTTTACAATCGCGGAGATGGTCGCCCGTCGCCTGTTCAGGGTAATCAAGGCCACCAGGGCATGCGCAGACCCGACAGGCCACTGATTTCAGGTAGCTCATATGACCCAAAAAACAAAAAATGGAAAAACGTAATTGATTTGAATTCCTCTTTCATTTACTAGCTCCGGTTGTGTTCCCAGGAAAGGCTTCGCGTCAGAAACGTGAAAGTTTGACCTCCCGCGATAGCCCCCTGGGGCTTAGCTCGCGCATTGCAAGCAACGATAACACTGATGCTCCGTACATCCCCTACAATAACGTGCCAATGGGCGCAACCCATTATCGTGGGCGCCTCTTCGTCACAATGCCCAGGCGACGTGTGGGCATCCCGTCGACCTTGAACTACATCGACTTGTCGCGCGACGGCAGGGAAAGCAGCCCCAAGCTGCACGCCTATCCGAATTTCGCGCTAAACCAGCTTTAATGAGAGTTCGCAGAATCTGGTCTCCGTGTATCGGACCACAGTAGATGCCTGCCAGCGGCTATGGTTCATTGACACCGGCATGCTGGAGTATCCAAGTAAGTTGATGATCACCCAGCCCTGCCCCGCGTATATCGCATCCCGGATGGCAGTGCCCAATTACGTTTAAGTTTCCCATTACATCCACGTGCATGCCGAAGCTCGGGTTCATTCTTGCTTGAAGTTATCCCATATACTCTCATCGGTTAGTGTTAGTGATACCTGCCTTAGAGTAATTGTTGACACGATCGTCGTCACCTTACCTTGGTGCTGTGGCATTATTTATTCGTATTCACAAACAGGGCGGGTTTTTTTGAGCTATTGTCTGGTATTATTATAATTATAGTTCAAACACGAATCTTACTGGGAGAGAGTTAGCTCCGGATAGATAGAGAGAGGGATGCTGATTACCCTTTGCTGCTAAACAACACTGGGAGAGAGCTAGTGAGCGTAGAGCGGGGCAAGAGAGTCAGAAACTTATTTTCTTCAAATTGCAAGGGTTTTTAATCTGCTAGATATATAGACTACCAGGTATCAGAAGTCTCACCCATGCTAACTTTTAATTGAAGTAAAAAATCTTGTCATCAGATAACCGGCAGCAAATCCGGCGCCCCAGCATATGGATTGTCGACCTCAGCACTGATCGGGTTATCAAACGCTTTGAGATTCCCGAGAGCCTTGTGGAGACTGGCCGGGGTTTGGCCAGTCTTACCATCGATGTGGAGCCCAACAAGTGTGGCGATGCTTTTGCCTATATTCCGGATCTGGTCTATCGGCGCCTGTACGTGTACCATTTGTCGGACGATCGGATCTGGGCCTTCGAGCACAACTACTTCAACTTTGATCCTCTGGCTGGCGACCTGAACATTGGCGGTCAGGTGTTCCGCTGGGACGATGGCATCTTCTCCACCACATTGGGGCCGCGGCAGCCGGACGGTAGTTGCGACGTCTACTTCCATCCCATGGCCAGCACAAACGAGTTTGTGGTGTCCAGTCGGGTGCTGCAACAGGAGTCGAATGCTGCACGCTCCGATCAAGGCACTGATTTCCGGGTGCTGGGCAGTCGCGGTCCTTCCACCCAGTCGACAATGCACGACTACGATCCGCGCACTGGTGTAATCTTCTTCGCAGAAATACAGCGGAACGGAATCGGTTGCTGGAAGACCAGCGAACCCTTCTCGGTGGAGAACCATGGCACTGTCGACTCGAATGCCAGCGATATGATTTATCCCAGCGATTTGACGGTATGAATACAGTAGTTTTGCTGCAGCCTCCAGGCTCTCGTAAAACTGTGCTAAAAACCCAGAAGAGAGCGCTGTTATACTGTCTTTGATTGTAGCATTGCGATGCCGTCAAGTATTATTTATTTTATTAATTTTTTGCAGATCGATGACGAGGGCACCCTTTGGGTGATGTCCAACTCCATGCCCATCTTTATATACTCCACGCTGGATACGGATGTCTACAATTTCCGGATCTGGAAGCAGAAAACCACGAAGGCAAAACGCGGCACGGTCTGTGAGTGATTTGATTTACATATGGTGGAATTGCTTTAATGATGTTTGTAATGGAAATTACCCAATCCACTGGAAACTTATATGTATATAATATAATATATATATAATATAAAATAAATCAAAAAGCATTTACAACAAATACATGTACCGTTTAAAATTGCCTAAATTTGAGTACTCGTTTTTATCACATCTTAAAAGTTACGCAGATGTTTACATGTGTTATTTTTTTACACGAATCAAATGGAAAACATTAAAGAAAACATCAAACAATCCAATCAATCAATCAATCAATTAAAAACAAAATCAGAGGCACTCTAATATTGCATAAGGATACTAAGTTGCACAGGTTTTTGTGTATATAATACGTGTCTAGTACTATATATGTAGATTCTATATATATATATATATGTCTGGAATCTGGACCGAAAATATATGAAATAATTATCTTAAATACTGGTGTAAATTTCTCATAATGTCGCATCCAAACCTAATCGAGGTGTAAATTTTGGGTAACTTTTCAAAGTGTCAGCTATATAGTATATATATATATATCTATAAATGATCAATTTGTATATGATATATATGTATATATGAGTTTATATAAAAAATTTGCAAAAATATATAGGTTTTGTTTTTGTTTTTCGTTTGCTTTCGTTCTGTACTAAGTTAAGTAGTAGTACTTTTTCATTCATAGTATGTGTACGTGTATATAGCAAAATGGTTCTACATATACGAGTTGACTATATAGTGGTTCCCCGTTGACGTTCCGACTGGAATGGAATTGGAATCGGTATTGGTATTGGAATGATTACTGGCCCAGAGTTATACATGTACATAAAAGTTCCTCAAGTCTAACAGCATATAACAGTTTCGAGTTGCTTCATAGCTATAAATATGTCAAATCGATTGGGACACACAGCCCGCCACAGTACAGGACTCGACTTGGACTTTTATGTGCACTGACTGCACCATCAAGTGGCGCATGCGACACCAAGCCGAGGCCTGCTACATAAACTACTACTACTGCACTAGATAGTCTTTATAGCCACGCAACGATTTGAGCTGCTTCTTCAACTTGGTTATCAAATCCGACGGCTGCACCAATATGGATATGTCACGCCCCACCGAATTCAGGCGGTCGCGTATTTCCAGATCCTTGAAGAACAAATTAAGCGGCCGTCCATTGATCTCGGTGAGCATCCAGAAGGTCAATGCATTGCCATCGCACGATTGGGTCTGTGATAAGGAAATTTGGATTTTATTAAAGCATTCCACGACAGAGACAAGACGTTACCTTTGGCGGCAGTCCGTGACGAGCGGCCAAACTGTTGGGCACCACATCCACAATCGTTGAGGTATTGCCATCACGTATGAGTCCCAGGCACTGACCCTCGCGATCGCGACGTATGGCATACGCCCGACCAAAGGGAATGCGACGCAGCAGCACTTCGACCTGTGCAATCGACAAAGAGATGCTTAGAACAAAATGCAAAAAAAAAACCAAAGGAAAATACACTCACAAAGAGAGTATTGGTGTTCCTTATGATCTTGTTGGCCTCCGTTGCGCTGCTGATGCTTACGCCCGCGATGGAGAGCAGCTGGTCGCCGATGTGCAGAGCATTGTATAGCACCGGATGCTCTTTTTGCTTCCATCCTGCAATCCTGTAATCATCCATTAAGCAATGGAATATAATTGAAGTACAGAGTATGACTTCTGAAAGGGAAGCGATGTCCACTTACCATACACCCCCAAAGGCCTCCACCCAGGCAATGGAACCCACGCAATCCTTGCGCCGCAGATTCAGACGCACTCCACCCGGATGCATGATCTCTCGTCGCAGCTGCATCACCTGCTGTTCGCGCAGGGTGAGCCGCTTGTTGGGCGATTGCTGGATTCCCGCGCTATTCGGATTCGTGCTAGCAGAGGCAGCACCCTGAGGCGGCGGTTGCATACGAAATCCGCCCCGTCCTGGTGTAAATTGCTCATTGTTGTTGGCATTCCGTTCGTTCCGTTGAGTGTTCGGCACCTGGCTGGCACCTGCATTACGCTGCAGCGGAGCCTGGGCATCTGAGGTGGACGAGCTGCGCCTGCGCTGCTCTTGACTGTCGGCAGCAATGGCTGCGGCATTGCTCCGGTGTGCAGGCGGTGCCGCGCTGACGCTGGAGCTGGGCGTGGCCTGCTGCTCGATGTTGTTGTTGGCCGCGCTCGTTGTTTTCGATGACGGTTTGCTCCTGAGCGGCGTGTTGAGCATCTTCAGATAGTGGAAATCGCGTCGACTGGGCCGCGAACTAATGACCAGCTCGGTCAGTCCTCGCGTCAGCTGTGGCATGGCGCGACCAGAGCTCGGTGCGGGCTGTGCCGCAGGCGAGGCAAGGCGTCGCCGAGGCAGTGCTGGACTGCCGTTGGACTGCAACGGCGTGGGAAGCGTGGGATGGCTTGGAGTTTGAGTTTGAGCCTGAAGAACATTTGAGCTGATCGCTACACGCTCTGTGTCCTGTGTCCTGGTTGGGCTACTGCTGCTGATGGGTATGCTGGAGGAGAGGAACACCTTCTCGTAGTGTACGTTGCCGCTGATTATTGAGTCGCTGGCCTGTTCACTGTTAACGCTGATGTTCGTGATGCCCGACGTGTTGGCGCTGAGGATTATCTTCTTGCTGAGCTTTGGCGTCGTCTGGGACTTGGCGGGCATATTCGTGGCACTTCCGCTTGGCGCTGGCGCTGTCGTCGCAGTCGCAGACGGATAGCAAGTGCCGTAGACAGCCACCGTGGTGGCCTCACCATCGCTCATCACCTTCACCTTAGTGGTGTTTGCATTTGCATTGGCGTTGGCGTTGCCAGTCGCCTGTGGACTTGGGGCATTGGAAGCATTCTGTTTGACAGGAGTCGTATAGGCATTACTGCTGCTGCTGCTGGGCTGTTGGCCCAGCACTTGAATGGTACTGGCATTGGACGGAATGATTTGTACGTTGCTTTTATACTCGTGTTGCGGCTGTGGCTGAGATTGCTGAGGCAGCGGCTGTGGACGTTGCTGCTGTTGCTTCTGTTTCTGATTGGCATTGGCCACCGCCTTCGTCTTGGCACCGACTACTTCGGGAAAGCGGAATATTTCAGCTATTATACTGTTGTTCTTGGGCGGCAATTCGGGCGGACGTTCCTGGCCATTACTTGGATTCGATACTTGAATGATTGTTATGTTGTCCTGAGGTTCATCGGTTCCTGGGACGCTGCTGCTGGTGGCCTGAGACACGAGTGGTTTCCGTGGCATCCTTTTCGATTTATCAGCGGCTCCGGCAGACATGGAACGGGATGTTTGCGGCCTAGAAAAGAGGAAAAAAACGTAGCTTGCCATTCAGTCAAAAGTCAAAGTCAAAATATACTCGATAGGTAAATAATATCTATATACACAAATCAGACAAATGACGCTTTCAGCCGAAACGCTGGACGATATGTTCGTGCAGGAAGTGATCGCCGTTGCCAAGATGATCGTTAAATTGCAGGCCAAGGACCACATCATTCCAACGTGCACCCGCTGGTTGAGCATCTTCCAGCAGGCCCCGCCCGAGGAAAGGTTCGAGCGCAATTGGATGCTACTGCAGCTGCACACCCAACTGAACAGAAACAGCACCCTTGGCTATCCCTTCACGGATCCAAGCAGCTACCATTTGGATTTGCGCAAGCTTAAGGAGCGCTGCGATTGCAGGCAGATGTCCCATGATGTGGATGACGACAATTGCGAGTCTATATCCAGCCCAGATGAGAGCACCACCTCGATTAGCGAATGGGTCGATATAGATGCGCGCAACGAGCAACTGTTGGCGCAGAATGCTGCAATGAACAGCGAGCTGAAGGAGCTGCAATGTCTTGAGCAGCATCTGCAGCACCAAAGGGATAGCTTCCAGAAAATGCAGATGGAGACGGAGGATGAGGAAGGAGACATGCAAATACTCGCCTCCTCCGCCACTACGGCGCTCAAACTGCTGTCCACCAATAAAGATGCCAAAGCGAAGAGCCAATTCTTTGAAACACTCTTCAGTCCGTTGTGTCTGGACGAGAAGGATGTGGCCCAAGTGGAGAAGCTTGACACGCTCTTCGAGAAGCTATTGCGTGGTCGCATTGATGACTATAAGCAAAAGCAGCGCGGCCTGATGGTGCAGCAGGCGAGCAGCGAGTACGATAAGGTGGTGACCAAAGCCAAAGAACGTTATGGAAAGGTTCTTGAGGGGCAGCTGGTCGCCCAGGAGAAGGAGCTGGCCCTTACCGCCATGCGCTATCTGGAGGTGCTGCGCAAGCATTTTCTCTTGAGCTACTCGGGCAACGACAGCACTATGGAAGCCGTGCTCAAGTTCTTGCAGCATAGCTGCCATCAGTTGTCGAAGACAATATAAAAAGGGGGCACCTGGGCATTTTACCTGGGTATTAGTCGTTCACACTGCAGCATATGTTCCAGATTTAAAATTTGATCTGCAATATGCAAATAAAATTATATTTATATGTTTGCCATCAAAGCGGCGGTTTTCTTACCCGCCGAGGCGCGCTGTGCTGTGGCTGCCACAACATCGACCCGCACACCATTGTCCGTGAGGACGCAGGCCCTTCGCAGAAGCGGCGACAGGAATTCATCATCCGACAGGTTCACGTCCGTATCACTGGTGCTGTTCAATTGCTGGGGCTCATCTGTGTCCACATCCTGCTCCCCCTCCTCAGATCCATTGGGTGGCACCGACGTCGCCGTCTCGCTTATTTGCTCGCTGTATGTGCTTATCGGATCGGAGAGCATGTTGAGCAGATGCTGGGTCAATGTGTTGGACATGGCTGTGGCTGGTGGTACTGCAGTTGCCGCAGTCGGAACCAGAGTGGAAGCAGGACTTGGGGCTGCCTGTTCACTCGCTAGCAAATGATTCTGTGGCTGCTGCTGCGGTTGATGGGCAGCCACCACACGCTCCACTCCCGGCACAAGGGCCGCCGGCACTGGGGGTGGCGGCGGCAGCGGCGATGTGGGATCCCGTGTGGGCAGCAAGGGGGCGCGCACTTCAGGTAACTTTGTGTAGAGGTTTTCGCGCGGCGACAGAATTTTCATTTCGCGCAGCTTCGAACGCAGCGTTTCCACCCATTCTTGCATAATCTCCCTGTGAACGAAACGAAAACGAAACTGAAAGTGAATTGTGTTTGGGCAACAGCAACAGCAATAGCAATTATTTGCCCGTCTTTGGCTGCGTGCGTGCGGTGCGGCATGGCCAGCTTACCATGACACGGCATGAAAGCGCAACACTTCATTGCTAAGCGTTACAACAAATTCAAACTCGTGCGAATTGGGGATAAGGGCGTGCGATATGTGCAGCGTCTCCCGCAATGACACCGCCCACTCTGGCATGTGGCCGGCCGCCTGGCGCGGCTCTGCATAGCCCTCCAGTAGAGCCTCCGTGTCATCGTGCACGCAGAACACCACCCAGCTGCACTCGGATTTCTGCAAAAGCAAGGGCATTCATTAATTAATTCGTGTCCCAATGATTGGGGTGGGGGCGAGTGGCTGGCTGGGCTCCACGACCTACCTTGGGCCCAACGGTTAGCTTCTTCCCATCAGCCGTCAGTCTTTTCAACCACGTATTCTTGTGTATTTCACGAAACTGAGCGCCGATAATGGCCCCGACTCCCGTTGCGCCAGTGCTAACGCCCGACGGTGGTGCAGGTGCGTTTGAATTCGCAGGTGCTGCTGCAGCCGCCGCAGCAGCCATATCCCCAGTCCACGTCCTGGTCCTGCGGCAACGTTGCTTTCGATGCGATTGCTACTATGCAGGATAATGGAGATTGGGTGCTCTATTTGCATGCCTTGGGCCTTTCACTTGAATGAATCTCACATTTCACTCAATTTTAGTGCAAAATTTGCTGCATTTTCTTAGACAACAACAAAAAATCCAAGAAACGACGACGCCATGTTTGCAGTGTGACCGCGGATGCATCGATAAAATATACCGCCTGACCCTCAGAAATATATCTTCTCATTTTCATAATATACCTTAAATATACAGAGGAAAAAACTAACTTAACCCACTTAACCCCACTCTATTCAAATAGGTGAGCAACTTGAGTTAAGCTGCGGAAAATAACCAGTTTGTAAGTCCATCTTTTCTCTTTATTTACTGCAAAAAATTACCACGGTTCATTGTTGTACGCTTTCCCGTTAGATAAAGAAAAAGAGGGGAAGTCACCACGATTTGAGAGACCGTTGCTCTACCGAAATATTTCGGTATTTTTTGTGAGCCAAATGGAGTTTTGCGGTCATTTTGAAAAGCACTTTAATATATTGGTAATATATATTTTCTTAGTTTGAGTGCGATACCATTTGTTGGTTTGCTGTCATCCGTTAATTTTAGAGTACGCTTATGCTTATTAAGCGTGAAAAACTTCATAATCTTTATGCTATAATACTTCTTTTTATTGAGATTTTTAAAATCATTTTTGATATTTTTTTTGTTTGGGCTTTTTTTGTATATTTATATCACACGTAACGTAAGTAATGTAGTAGATCTTTTGATGCTGTCTTAAATCTCTAGGTCTAAGCTGATTGAAAAAATATTAATTTATCTTTCTCTACATGCCAAAACGGAATTTAACGACATTAAAAACAATCTGTTTTACATACTTTGTGCATTTGCTCTGTGGGGGTAGGGCAAAACGAGCTGAACAATATTTTTGACTTAAAATTTGCAAAACTATTGTTCTGCAGCGTTCGTTCCTGTTTCGTTTCATTCGATTAACACTAGTTATATTATGTATATCTACGCATGTAAGTTGTATAAAGAGGCTTTAAACATTAGTATCTCAATTCTCAATTCGTTTTAGTCACTAAATTATAGTCGTAATTTACAAGTACTGCGAGAGTCAGATGGGGGCGTTTAACAAGCGATTCTGGTAACTTAGGCGTAGAACGTACAACGAGTTAACAATGGGTTGGGCGGGGGCACAGATTATTTTTTAAACACAATGTTATATAAAAAATGTAAACTTAAAACAAGTGTCGATTGTTCAGGGGAGGAGGGGGGTAGTAAATGAAATAAAAATTTTAACTAAAATTAAAGTCTTTGCATAGAATGACGGTTTGGGATGCAAATTCTGTGCCTGTTTCTAACACAATCGAGTCGAGAGTCTTCCTTGTTGCTTACATTTTCTTTAGTTGGAAATTTTCGTAGTTAAGTAGTAGTTTTAGTGGTAGTCGTAGTTCGTTTTGGTTTGTAATTCGGTAGAAATTGCGGTAAATGTTCGATGTACGGGCCTATGCTCCACACATAAAAAACCGATAAAGGACCGCGATGTTAGGAGCATATGCCTGTATATATCGAACATTTGCCGGAATTGCAACCTAACAATTTGTAGCGTGTAAAGTCATTTTTTTTCGTTTTGTACGTTCATACCAAAGTATAGCCAGCTGCTTCAGCCTCTGCAGAGGGAGGGCTTTGCTCCGCTTCAGCTCCGTCTCCGTATTCCCGGGCAAACAATTCGTGTTTAACTCTAATTACCATGTACGATGATGGACGTGGCATAGTTGTTAGTCGTTACATGCTGTGTTTGCTGTTTTAGTGTTTTTAGTTGTTTTTTTTTTGTTCTCTTTCAACGTTTTGTATTTTTTTTTCAGTGGCTTTTTGTTAATTTTATAATTGATTTCAGAAATGTTATTCGTTTGCATTTCGGTCGCCAGCTTCGGTCAGAACCATCTATTTGTTTACGGCTATGCGTATCTGTTGCGTAATGGCCAAGTTCCCCTGAATACTGCTGCTGCTGCAGTAGCTTGGGGCATGGACTAATGGTAGGTCGAGTTTTTTGCAAAGGATTTACAGATTTTCTTAGGATTTTTGCGTGTCGACTGGAGCGCTTACTGCAGCGCCTGCCGAGTGAGGTCCACGTGTTATGGGAGTGTGGGTTTGCGAGTCTGGTGGTGGTCGGGCTGGCTGGCTGGCTTTATGAGGCGGGTAGGTCCAATATGTGACAACGCGGTACAAATTCATCGGCCATGGGATTCAAAACCGACTTTTCCACATTGCACTGACTTTTAGGCAGCGCGGAAAGTGCCGTGTTCTGCTCCTCCGTTCTGCAGGGCGACAGATAAAGATTAGGGCACATGCTCCATTATGGCTAGATGGGTCTCAACTCACTTTGCCTTCTCCCATTCGTTGATTTGCTCTTCCAGCTCGTCCTCCATCATTGCCTCAATACATTCCTGCATGATTTCCTCCTCCTCTAGTCTTTGAAGTTCCTACAACAACAAACGTAAGGTTGAAGAAAATATACGTTAATGGGTTTGAGCTGCTTACGTTCTTGTCGAACTCCTCTTCGTTCTCCATCCACATATACTCGGAAAAATCTGGCTCATCGTCAAAGTCCGATAGGGACTCGTCGTCGTCTATCACATAAATGATTTGCTCCGACCAGTCCACAGATGGTACTTTAAACAACATGCTTCCTGTAAGGGGAGTGTTAATATTATTGATCAGATTCATATCATATATGCGTTTTATATAAATCTATCTGAAGCGGCGGCTTTGGCTTCTATTCTATAGCCATGCATGTACATATTCTGCCGGCAAGAAGCGCGACCAGTTGTTGTGTTTTCTAGAACCGGTCCCCTTAGCAGGCGATAAACAAACCCCAACCCCAGTCCAACGAGATATTTCCACACATACTGCAAATGTATTTATATATATATGCGAGTATGTATTTGTTTATATTTTCTCTTTTCTTGGCAGACAAAATATCGAAAACAAAATGAATCAGCTCAAAGTACAAGAGTAAAAAAGAGAGGCCGATATCAGGTACTGATAAGGACATCAGGGCATTATCACATCCAGCCGGCAAACGTATTAAACACTTTACGGCGTATATGTAGAAGTACTGTTATTGTTATCAGTTGTTTGTTGTTTGGCTTGTCCGAATTCAAAGTATGAATTTATGCTAAAACGCAATAAGTCAGTGGCGATCGTCATCGACTACGAATATTCGTTCGGGGCGCCAATTGTGTTTGTTTGTCTCCCCGTGTGTACGTGTACGTGCCGATGTGTGCGAGAGTCTCGGACCTCGACAGGTGAGGCCATTCAGCGCTTTTACAGCCAAATTTAGATTGCGTTAACTGTCAATTATTTAGTCATTTTAATGATGCAATAAATTTCCATTTATTAGTTTGATTTAGTCATTTTGTTTTCCTTTTTCTAGGTCAGCTTAGTAACGGATCAGAGGTTCTCGTTTCTAGCTATATTTAGCTTTTTCTTTAAAATCTTCAGCAGTCAACACTGGCCCAGGCTATCGTTGTGTACGTGCTCGTTCACACACGCACCAACACCCACACACACTCAACACTCGCGCAATTGTAGAATTCAGCTTGTTGCGGCTGGGCATATTTTAAATAAAATTGCGAAAATTAAAATGTATTTGCACAGCCAATTTTATGCATAAAACACAAAGGTGGTAAACCGTCCCGCATACATATATATGGATACAGGCAGGCAGCCATATGTGTACACTGTACATATATATGTATGTATGAAAGCTTGTGTATGTTATTGAATGAACCTCCCTCAACCGGGGCCAACAACAACAATGATAATAACAAAACACAAAGCGCTCAAGGTAACAAGCAATATTCGACAGAAGAATTAATATACTTCGGTTTGTGTAATTGCGCCGAAATGAAAAAAAGAGCTGCGTTACACGAACTTGCACGTACACACTGTAGGCTATCTATCTAGCGTAGTCCCCCCTCGCCCGTTTCAGCTTAGTAGGAGCTGTTGACGACTCTGTCCGTTTTTATTGATTTGTCAAGAAGCAGTTTTGAGTAAACGACAGCCCGTGTCGCGGAAGTGCTGACACAGGCACAACGAATTTAATCAGGAAGCGAGCGTCTGCGTCTGTATTCTGATTTCCGCCTTTCTTTCCCCCTATGCGCACAAAAATAACACCGATATCCAGCAGAAACTAGTGGCCTCTGCTTTGTCAGTGATCTCTGCTCCTGCTGACGGCCAGTTATTTCGCTTGCTCTACTCACTTGTATATGCTGAAGGAGCGCTTGATTGCCAAACAAAATATGTAGGTGTCACGGCGCCTTGTTGCTTGTGTTGATCTTTCACTGAGAATTTTGCGTTGTAAAGGGGAAAGCTCAATTTATTGTAGCATCGAGATAGAATTCACACGAAAATTTTGATACATCTATTGCGAAACGTATTCCAGTGAGTGCTGTGCGGGAACACAACACAGGTTCATGAGCGTTAGCAAACAATTTTGAAAAATTAAAAAACTTTCAATGAAGCAAGCTAAGGTAGAGCTGTAAAACCATCGACGATAGTTGCGATGGTATCGATAGGGGCTGGCTATGAGTCACCATCGATGTATCGCGTAGTATACTGACATTAAACATTAAAATATACCGCCTGACCCATACCTATATCTTACGAATTATATATGAATTATGAATTACGAATTTAATCGATTGTATTTATTGCTAGTTTATAAACAAAGACATACATTGCACACCATGATATTTTGTGACCCGTTTCATTACCGATTCGCTTTGAACCGATGGGGAAACGTAAAAATAAAATTCTGCAAAAAATAAGAAGAAAAAACATATTCCGCAAAAAGGAAGAGGAAGAAGAAAAATTGTTCCACAAAAATTAAGAAGAAAACCCTGTGCGGAAAATTTGTCCGTAGTATTTTTTGTGCGCTAAATGATTTGGCGGTCATTTTGAAAAGTATCGCAATATATTGAAAAATAAATATTTGATTTGTTTTGTCGGTGCTGTCCAGTGTGACTGGAACCTCATAAATATACCAAAATATACCTTCTCATTTTCAAAATATACCAAGGGAAAAACGAACTTAACCCACCAAACCCCGTTCTACCTAAACATATAAAATATTACTGATTGTAAATTCTCCTTGTATATTCATCCTTTACTTTGCTTACAAAGATATTTACCACGAAATCTTTTACCTTAAAAACAGAAGTTTCTACACTCAATGTTTAGTTGCAACAAATAACAACAAATAATAGTTTTGTGCGATAGGCAGAATTTATCGTCGTTTTAGTTTGAAAATAGCCGAGAATCGTGATCCGAGGGTGATTGTGATTTCAAAATTACATTCCTGCAGGATTCCGCTTTGTTTTTGACAGCTATTTCTAAAAAACATAAGTTCGTGTTTCTCCAATTTATTAGTTATGATGATCTAGATCTAGAATTGAAAAAAATGCTTGAAAAACATTTCCCAACCCAATAAGAGCCGCTAGAATGGTACGACCAGAGGGTTCATCCAACTGGACTCCGTTGCTACAGTCTTTAAAAAACATTTGTCCTTAAACTTTAAATGAATGGAAATAAAAGACAATTTTGTACAGATTTTTAAAGCAATTGCGATTATGTGGAGCACTGGTATTTATTTTTAAATTTCGATTCAAGACTGTCCATTAAATCGGTTAGGGGTCTAGGTCCGCTTTTCCTAGAGTTGTCGAATTGATTAATGTCATCGAAGAGTTCGTGCTCCCTGGCCACAGTTTCCTCGCTCAGACTGCTCTTCATTTTGGTTGCCTTTTCGACCAGATGCTTGCTAATGGAATGAATTGCATTGAACAAGGATACATGCATGTCAAGGTAGTGGGACTCGAACACATGATCCTTTGCCCACTCCTGCGCGACAGTCTCGTTCTGCAGGATTAGCTTTATCTGCTCCTTGTCGACGCCGAATTTTCTTTGCCATAAGCTCTGTGTTTCGTTCCTTTCGCGGCGGCGATTCATGAACAATTCTTTAAACTCGTTTGGGAAACCCTGTTCTGCCTTAGACATAAAGTCCATATTGATGCTCATGATGACGGCAAAGAATCCCATCCGAAATGCATCGAACGATACCAGAAATTTGCACAAATGAGTCCTGTCTGACTCCGGCAAAGGCACTCCGCCAGCCTCAGTTGGTGCCGGATCACTGGGTGCGGCATTGGCCATGCTCTGCGGATAGATCAGATGCTGATTTCTGTTTATTTCTCACAATAAAAGTTCCCACCAGTACGGCCAGGGCGATAATCACACGGGACTGCATCTTGAAGTGTTTCAAATGAAACTGCAATTTTCCGAACATGTTCGTAAGTTTTTATAGCTCATAGTCGTGTATTGACAGCTCCTCCATCGCTTGTGGCAATTATCGCCAACTCTCTAAAAATAGGTACGACCGCAGGGTTCATCCAACTGGAGTCCGTTGCTACAGAGATAATTCCTAAGAAAATACAAGAAAGAACCAGTAAAAAAGAAAATAGAGAAAAACAAGAAATTTCTTATTAATTATTCAGCTGATAGAGACATTTCTTTTGGTCCACAGATGTTGATTATTTTACTACTACTATAAAATATATTTATAATCCCAAACGTTGCTTTAAAATTCATTTTTGTGGCGCTCTGGCTGACATTGGGATTTTCTGGAATAAATAAATAAAAACAAATAAATTATAAAACACTAAAATCTACTTTATTCGATAGGACAATTGGGGCGCTTTAAAAAACACAAACAACAAAATATAAAATAGGGAAAATTCTTAATTTCTAATGAACATTGGCTTGAGTTGCACTCAAAGACTCCATGTGTCTGCGTGGATCCCAAGGCTGCAGCCTCGTACTGCTGAACAGCCCAAACACAACCATGGCCATGCCATTGAAAATAATCAGTGTCATCAGCACAATGTTCCATTCGTCCTTGGCGCCCTGCATAATACGAAATACGGATAAAAGTTTGGGTTCAAAACAAACCAGTTCATGCTTACCGTGTGCACCAGAGCGGCCACCAGATGTGGCGCCAGAAATCCAGATAGATGGGCCAAGCAATTGGCCACCCCCGACAGGAGACCGGCAAAGGAGGGCGCAAAGTACAACAGTGTGGGCCAGTAGCCGGCACTGAAACCCATGTCGGTGGTAGCGTAAAGGAACGCGTACATCAGCATCACAAGGGTCTTCTGTTCGCAGCCGGCGCATATAATAATGCCAATAAAAACCATCGTCAAAATGCTGCCTGGAAAGGGGAACAACATACATTTGAAATCCATGCAACGAATTGGATGGGAACTGTCTTACAGGCGACATACAGCAGTCGACGCATCCAGCTCTGATTGAGACCTACGCGCCGCTCCACGTAGCCGCAGCTAAAGACGCAAATCAGCTTCGAGAACATACCGCCCAGATATGGAGCCGCCGACAGCACACCCACGTCATGCAGATTGAACTGCATGGCCTCGCGCATGAAGCGCGGCATCACGACGGAGAGCACCAGGAACGTGTAGTTGTGGAAGATGTGCGTCAGGATGAAGGCATAGACAGGCAGCGAGGTAAGTAGGTGCCTCCAGGGCACACTTAACTGTGTCGAACGGTAGAAAATCAAACTGTTAAAGATAAAACCCCAGGTGGATCCACTTACTTGGCTCCTGGTTAGCGGCTCTCGCTGCAAGTACGCCATCTCCGCGTCCGATATGCGCGGATGCTGATCCAGGGAGTCGTAGATGAGCCAGTGGCAGGATATGCCGAAGACCAGCGTCACACTGGCCACCACATAGAAGGACAGCTCCCACGCAAAGTCGCTGAGGTAGTTGGCCACCGGATAGACCACAATGGAGCCCATGAGCAGGCCGATGTACGCGAACGAGAGCAGCGACGTCCGCTCCGTGGGATGGGCCCAGGTCACGAACAGCTGGTACAGCGGCGGATTGCCGCAGCCCTGCGGATGAAAAGTGAAAGGTTATACCGCAATGCCCAATGCCCACTGGACACTCATCTCACCGCGCACATGCCGGAGACCACCAGGCTGACTACCGCGGCGCCATAGCTGTGATGCGCCATCGTTGGCAGCAGGAAGTACGCCAGAGCCTCGCAAACCAGCGACATGATGAACAGCCGCTTGCTGCTGAACCGATCCGACAGGTGTCCGGCCAGGGGTATCGAGATCACGTAGCCATAGTAGAAGACGCCGGGAAAGGTAAGCTCCTGGTTGCGTGTCCACGGCAAGTCTCCCGTCGGCTGCAAGCTCACAATCAGATCAGATTTCTGTGCACACCCACACCCAACAAAGTAACGCCGCAAACTTGCCTGAGTCACCTGGATGCCCGAGGCCAGGCCAAAGACAGAGCCTCCACACTGCCCCGCAGCAGTCGAATTGCTGCGCTCCAGTTCGAGGGCAGCGCCGGTCATCAGCAGGGCGTCCTCGGGACGCGGCCTGACCATGCGCAGTATGACCATGGCCAGCATGCTGCGCATAGCAGAATGCAGGCAGATCGACAGGAAGGCGCACACGGCGTACGTGAGGCGAACCGAACCCCAGAGACTGTGCGACGCAGCAGTGACCTGCCCCGTGCGATGGGGCAGCGTCCACGACTTGCAAACCATTTTAAAATTTCTTTTCTAACGAAAAAACACACACAAAAAACAACTAATCGACGATGGGGTACAAGACACAATCCACAGGTGAGTCGAGCAGGGTAGAGACTAATTTCAAATACGCTGCACCTGCCATCGACACTGGGAACTGGGCACTGGGCACTGGGCGCTGGCACTGACACTGTGACAAGATGACCATAAACATGTAACTTTGCCAAAGTTATTTGCAATTTGGCACGATTTCTCGGCGATTTATCGGTCAGCTCTCCAGCTCTCGTCCAAAGCGGGGCACATATCTAGCTAGAGACCTACAAACTAAAACTGTAGACTGGCCGAACTGTAAACTGTAACAAGCGGCGATAAGAACTCTCCGTAAATCTCAAGCTTACAGCACATTAATCTTCTCCTCTTGCCTTTCCACTTTTTTTCGTGTCTCTTGTGCCTTGTCTCTTTGCTCGAAAAGCTCCCAAATCATCTTAGTTTATGGTTTGACAACATCTGCGAGCATGATCGATTTTTAGAGCTTTCTCGGTAGCAGCATTGGGATTTCTAAACAGATAGTATTTGGAGCCTGTAGAACATTAAAAGAGAATAATATTTATTAATATTAATAATAATAATAATAATAATATTAATAATATTTATTATTTATATCTAAATCAATGTATATAATTTCTCTGTCTATAGAAAATCAGTAGGCTCTATGGGTAGAGTAACTCTAAGATATTTCGGAGGCATTTCGGAGTGAGACTATTTCTGAAAATACTCGTATTGTTGTAGGGCTCGAAGGGACCCACAGATCAGAAATCAATCAATGAAAGTTTCCCATTCGTACATATGTATGTATGTATGTATGTATGTACATGTGTAGCAAACATTTTCGCACTGTTTAATGGGGGTGCACCATCAGTTGAAACATTTTGAATTTACCTGCCAATATATGTATAATTTCTTAACATTTCCTAGTCCCATATTAAGCTCATATCCGACTGGATAAGGGAAGACCGCAGATTGCTAAACTCAAATTATTACCTATCAATAAAGAAGGAGAGAAAGTCATCAGCAGAAAGATAAACAAAACAAAAACGAACCGTAAACAGTGAGCCAAATACTGCATGTCGGAAAACGGTGCCATCAACCGTAGGAAAACCGGGAAATACTGTGAGAAAAAACCGACCTAGAAATCAGTTTCGGAATATTGTTTTAAATAAAGAATAAACCTCAAATTATTGCTCTCTACAGGGAACAATTTTGCACATTACCTATTACTCTGCATAATTCTTGCAGGATTACTCGGGGGAGGGGTCCTACTTTAAGGACTGTAATTACGCGCTTACTATCAGTTAAAATGGCATATTGGTGAAGCAAATGTCTGCCCAAAATGGATATTATTTACATGTTTTTAAATCCTTAATTTGTTTGTTTACTTTGCCAGAGTTAACGATATATAATTATTAGAATTATATTCTCAGTGTAGAAGACAGGTGCAGTATGTGTGCAGCAGTTGGAGCGGGTGGGTAGGGGGGGTGAAGCACAGTCAAAGTGCACGCTTTGCCCCGTCCGAGTCCTGACAGGCAATTGGCTTTCGCTTTGTCGTGTCAAATACACACACACACACACAGATACAAACACACATGCGAGTACCTGGGATACCTTTATGCACTTTTCCTTATCTGCTGGGTCGCATCGCTCATTCTACTACACTATTCTGTTCTATTTTCTATTTTGTGCTCCGCTTGCACTATGTTTCGATTAAAATTTTGAATTTTTTATAAAGCCCACATGTTAGTCGCTGTTGTTGTTTCAGCGATGTTCTTGTTGGCTCATTTGGCATGCATATGGGTCGAGGGACTGCTACTGGGACTGGGACCGGGCTTGGGGCTGGGACTGGGTTTGGGCTTGGGACTGGGTTTGGGGCTGGGGCTGGGACAGTTCCCCTTACATATTTACATTTCTTTTCGATTGATTTTTTATTTATACAGCGCATATGTCGCCCCCATTTCAGACTCAGTTTCTCAGTTCGTTTGGGGGTTTCCTTGCTTCGTAGCAGGATGGCAGCGCATATGCTGACATCGACTCTCGGGGGCAATGCATTGTTTGCATTTGCATAACCAAAATACTACCGTTAGCGTTACCGCTGTAGCGCACAGCATTGCCATTACAGTTACCGCTGGTGTGTTTGCCATTACCTTGTCCTGGTCGCGTGTCCTGACCAGCAAAACACTTTGTTATAATCTAAAAATAGCCCGACGGCCGCATGGGAGTCCAGCTTTTGTCATGGAAATCCAACAAATTTCCACACACACACACACACGATTCCCCACCCACTGCCTCCTGCCTCGCCCTCTTGCCTCTGGCATAGAACAAATGTTGTGTACACACATGCCTCATCGCAAAACTGAAAATGACACAAATTTAATACCAAACAAAAAATAGTTAAATGATGTTCCAAACAGAGATCTATATTTTGCCTTGGCTAGGGCAGAACTTGTCCCAGCCCAAGGTAAGATCTACCCACAGCTGGGGATCAGGAAAGGACCACCTTTCAGCTAATAAAATTATAATTTTCCCATGCTAATACATTTATAAATTATAAATAGCTGGCAAAATTGTAGCTGACCAGGGACCAGAGACCAGAGACAAGCCATACATATAGCAGCCAAGCCATATGTGCCATTATTTAAATACTCAGAATGAGTCCACACACTCGGTCCATTTGTTGAGCATTGTTTAAGTCATTACGGGCTCTTTTGATGGCCTCGTTTGCCATCTGTCGCGCGTCTAGTCATGGGTAACAACCAACGTCAGAGCCAACAACACGTATTAACCGAAAACCGTACATTGTGTTCCGAGTTTCAGCTGCAAAAAAGATCTCCCTTTGGTACTCCGATTTAAACTTTTACAGATGCAAAGAAGGAAACTTAAGAAAACTTAAATTAAATATTTAATCCATAATTGGATAAAAGCATTCAGCTAGTTTTTAAATCACTTTTAAATCTTTTAATAAAACTTTCATTTTATAAGGCAATAAATTTGAATCCAGAAGTGGAATGAAGTGGAATTCAGAACACCCCATGCGAGTGTGAGTACGGCTTTGATATAACAAATTACTCTGATACTCAAGCCATAATAAAAACACAAATAAAAAAAACCCCTGAATGTTGTATATTGTACGTGTTCCCACATTCCCCTGCCCCACTCCGCCCGCTGCCACACAGGGAAACGACTCCACTCGACTCGACTCGTATTCGTGCACACCTGACTTTTGCTGACCAAAAGCATTAGCCTGTCGTGCTGCCGAGTGGATTACCTTGTACTGTGTAGGGTTTTGGGGGTACACCACCAAAAAGACCGCAAGCCTTCTTTCCATTCTCTTCGTCACTCTCTCTCTCTCTTTGGCTCTTTTTTCTAGTTTTTGTGTAGTGTTTGGCTTTTTTGTTTTTTTGTAGTTAACCATTTCCGAATCCTTTACATTCTGTTTCTGTTCTGTTCGGTCCGCCTGCCAGCTGTCTTACCTGTGGGTGGGTGGGTGTGTGGGGCGAACAAACAGAGTGTGGTTCAAAAATGGTTGTAGGTTCAATTCCAATGCGGCCACTTGACCCAATTGTTCTTTATTTTCGAATTCAATGCGGCTGTGGTTGCGGCTTGGATTTTGTTCCAGCCAAAACCCCACTCCTGATAGGTCTGGCTGGCATTTATTGGGGGCTTTTGCTTTGGGAGACAGTGACGGAAATAATTTTGTAATAAATCCTTCGCAGGTAATTTTATATAATTTCTTCCTTCTCTTTTTATTATCTGACAAGAGAGCTTTATGAGCCATCTCCTCGTGAAAGTGCATACACATACATACATATGTATGTATGTACATAACTTAATATGTAGTTTCTGTGTCATGCTACTACTCGCCTGCACGCACACACGAGCACCGTTGAGGGGCGGAAAATTGTTGCTTTTCCAACCATTTACATGGCAGGAACCTACCTTCAACTACATCCACACCTTTAATCGCAGCCGAAGACGCCGCATGGCGAGAGTCGGTGCAAGTCGCGTCCTGTCCGGCTGTCCTCTCTCACGTGTTGGCTTTCACTCTCTTCGTGGCCGTCTTCGGCCGGTTCGCTCCGCTCTGTGCCCAGTTGTAAACCGGGAGTCACAGCCGAAAGCTGTGTCACAGTCGCGGCTCACAGCTTACTCGGCAAGGATCGTTGGCAAAGGATTCGTAAATGTAAAGCGGCGTGATGCAGTGATATTCGGGCGACACGACTCTCTCCTAACAAAAACATAAACCCAAAATAAATACGCGAGTGAATATGTAGTGTATATTAATCATGTATTAATCCAATAATCAAATCATAAAAATCATTTAAAATCGAAGGAGAAAGTAAAGGGAAATAAGCGTATGTCCTGTACCTGTGTGTGTGCCTGCCAACTGTAATAGTTGTAAAAGTTAGTTAAACATTCTGGAATTCTGGCACATAGTTTTCAGCATTACATAATTGTAACGCTATTTTGTTTTATTTTTTATATTTTTCTTTGGGCATAATTAAATGAGTATCGATTGTCGGGTGTCGTTGTATCGATGTTGTTGGGTCTCTCTGTGAGTTATGTGGGAAAGTGGAATAAAAACGTGTTTCCCGCAGACAGACAGACAGACATACTGGCGGGCGGGCAGACGGGCAGACGGGCAGACGGACGGGTCACGGAGGTCATCATATGCGGCGCGCCAATGCTTAACGTATTTCAATCCATTATATGTATAACCACACCGAAAACCAAAACACGGATACATACTACATACTGACCAGCACACACACACACACACACACAGTGACTTACATATGTATGCAGGAACAGGCATTAATAGGACGGGCGTCATTTATTACATATCGAATGGGGTCGGGTCAAAGTAGTAGTAGCGGCTCATTCCCAGCCAACTAACGAGTCCAACGAGTCGGATGTGTTCTCGAAATTCACTAATTTATGTAGCTTTTTATTATACTATTTGGTTTAAATGCATTAGTTGATTAAAGATCGATACGATCCAAGATGTTTAACCTATATATTTGGGGGAATTTTTAATCAGTTGAATCATCAACATAAACTGATGAGCAGACACTCGCCTGTTCGTGCTAATTCTGGCTAATCAAAATCCTTTCAGTTCAAGTGAAAAATATTACAATCAAAAGTGACTAAAGCAAAAAAGTGCTACGATATTATAACAAAACAAAAAAACATACATATATGTGAAAAATATATTGTACAATTTGTTGTTTGGATAACTTAAGCCAGCAGCTACAACAAGGGTCAACTTAAGGCCGCTCAGGCCAAGAGCAGAGCTGCTTTAAGCCAAATGTGAGTAGACCAAATCCCGAATATCTTTCAAGAGGCGTCCTTGCACTTGTTCTAAATAGCTCTATATATATATATACATAAAATATATATATATATATAATATGTAGGCATATAATATATATTGCTCGGGGCAGCAGGGGCTGTCATTTTCTCTTGCACCTGCCGCTGCTCCTTTCATTTTATCGCGTGCGTGGCAAAGCATTTTTATAGCCACAAAATGTCCTTTTACGTTATGTGTCTAAAAACAAAAACAAAAAACACAACAACAATGGGAAAGCAAGAAGAGCGACAATAAAACGGGAAAGCCAACGGGAAAATTGAAACGCGGCCAAGAGGACACAAGTCAGAAAGGCTACGCATCGGATTTTCCGCATTTAGAGTATGCAATTTTAAAGCGATCTCCTAGAAGGAAAATATATACGTATACTTGATATAATATATAATAAATATATTAACTTCCTTTGGGTTCGGGTTCGCTGCGTTACGTTCCACTCTAAGTATTTAATTTAATTGGTCCGAGGACATCCGTATGTGGACATCAACATACGAATAATTCGATAAATGGTATCAAGGCCATCGCTTGTCACACTTCACGACATCGCTGTAAAGCTATTTTTAACACATAATTCGAATTGAATTATAAATACAATACGATTAGTAATTTACAAAAGCCACCACTGTCCTTCAGTGGCCACAGACTGACGACAGCTTTTGGGGCTCCAGGACAGGGAGCGCAGCCCTTGAAAAATACCCCAATTTGAATTTTTCTTAGGAATATCCCAACTATTCCCAGTACAGTTACACTTAGTTTAAACAAACTAAAAATATTATTGGGAGCAACAAACAAGCTTGGGAATATTTTGGGCTGGTAGCTGCCCTCAAAACCAATTGAACGGCAAGCCTGATAATCTTTATCTACTCATAGTACGAATATGTATTTAATTGGCAATTAAATTACCCTGACATCTTTATATTAAGTATACTAAAAAAAAACATGTGGTAACTGTAACAAATTATACGATAGCCAAGGGAGACTGTTATTAACCAGTTTGTGGATTGTTATTCATTCTTAAATGTTAATTTCATTGGATATATATATGTATTTGATTAAGATCTGTATTAGTCCCTTATAGTGGTGTCCATTGACAAGCCAATCTTTTTTGGTGAGTTCTTTCAAATTGTAGCAAATGGATTTAAACAAAATATAAGTCTGTGAACTATTGCAGCCTTCAACCAAAAATAATGAATGATTTGTGGCTGGACTTTTGGTATACCGCGTAGATCGATCGTTTCCATTACACCAATGTGATATTTTCAACATAGTTGATGCTTCAATTAACTCCTATCCAGAAACCACATAGAACGCCTGAAAGGTTAAAAACTGAAGGAATAGTTTGCAAAGGGAACGATAAAGGGATATACGCAGATTCGAATATGGGCTTGCCGACTCTTTATGGGATCGGAGATATTTTCTTCTTTGCTTTGGCATCAAAATACCGTCGTAAATAAACTATTTTGTTAACAGTGCAAACTATTAATCGAGATACATACATACATACATACAAGTACGTACGGATGTACATATGTAATCGTATTATTTTGACCATTTTGCAATGCATATGAGAGCACGTTCAAAGCCAAATCTAATCGATATGAACATTTTGTATGACGAATGTCTGCTAATGCCAATTAAATGTGGCACGGCTCACTTACTCGTATGAAGCAATTGCCCCAAGTTACAAGTATAGTAAAACTACATATACTATACATGGTGGACAGGACATCAAGAAAACTTAGCTAAAATTCTGCACATTCACGATTTGAAGAATTTCGATGAATAATGCCTAAAATTATTGGAAATTTGTGCCCTTTTAGAGGATATTCTCAAAGCTAATGGTAGTCTTAGCTACAGTACATTGCTTTAGATATTCATCTTAATTTATTTATTGTTCTTATTATTATTATTTTTCTTTTTCTTTTATTTTGCATTTAAATTACTTAAAACCTGTTGAGCTTAAGTTGGAAAATGGTCAATCTACATTCGATTAATTGAATCAAATTAGAGATGCATTTTTTTATGTTAATGTTTGTATTTACACATACTATAACTCTGTTTGTAGTTCTGAATCACTGAATCATTAAACTATAAAAAGAGCCCAAAAGAGAGAAAAGAAATTCGATTTTTTGATCACAGTGGTTTTTCGATATATGGGATATCAAAGGGCTAAACAAAGGTCATAGTTTGTATGAAATAGACTCCACCCGGCTGGGCTTGTTGACTTTGGATGGGAGCTTAATAAATCGTTCTATAAAAATGTGCTTCTAATAGCGTTGTATATTTAGTACAATTGTAGTGCAAGAATCCACATTTTACCATTTCGGAAATAAATTTAATACAATTAAAAACGCACCAGAACTAGAAATATATTAACTGTTGACTCTGATTGGGTCTTCGATTTATTAATAATTTACATTTCAATGATTGGTATGCACAAGAATTGCTGCTGCCTTTGTATCCGTCGTGCTGTAAGAGGGGAACAGGTATCAATCAAAGCTGAATGAATGAATAAATGAGTGATTCATAGATTATACTCTGGGAGAGCAATTGACTTTATTCTTTCATTCGAGCAGTCTCGCAACTTATTTGTCTTGGACTGCAACAACCTTAATCGCTGATAAATATTCGCTGCCTCAGCGTTATCAACTCTTAGCTCTTTTAAATAACAAAAAACAAAAAGGGAATGGAATGGAATGAGCTTTAACTTTTTACCACACTCATTAAAGGGGTGAACACAGGTGTGCACAGCCAGGTAGCCAGCCAGCCAGCCAGGTGTTAGAGGCTGATAAGTGCTCAGGTTTTTCTATCGCTACTAAAACTGATACCGACTGGCGCATGCTGGACGCTGAGCGGCGAGCGGGGGGGGCGGGGAGAGCATTTTCCAACAATGTGGGTAATTACTGTATCCTTGGCAACCGATTGCGATGACATTTGGCAAACTCCGAATGGAATATGAATATGGGGATTATCTGGTAAAACCACCGCCCACTATCCGAGCCCCAGGCACTCCAAGTGCCACCGGTTAATCATCGATGTTTTAGTATTTTTATTACGCGGCCCCTGCTGCAGATAAGATTAACCGGAATCGAACACTCGAACCGCGAGACGGAACGGGACAGAAGTGACCAATCCCCACCAGAAATGTTCAGTTGCCTTTCGGCCACTTTTGCCAGCAGTTCGTGGAAATCAGCGTCCAAAAACAAAAGGGAAAACGCCAAAATGTCAAACCTCAAGTGGTTCCTGACGCTCGGCGTCCTGTGTGTTGTGCTCCATCCACAAGGTAAAACGGGTTGATCAAATCACATGGGCCCAGCCAGTGCTTGGTCCATATAGGAGTAGGTCACAAATGTCGCGAGCAATTTCCGGTAATGGAATTAAAGCACCGATTAATCGGGTGTGAGGCCCAAAAGGCCAGGCCCAAATTGGTGTACAAATATCGGTGGCAAACGAACGGAACGGCGGCAGTCATAACATTAAAGAACCAACTCGAAGTAATTAATGCGAACGCAATCAAGGTCAAGTACTCGGTACTTTGCCCTGCTGACACACACCCAGCCACCCAGCCTGTCTCACGAAAGGTCTTCACAGGCCCCAAGGTCCTTCTTGGTTCGAGGAATTGTTTCGCCGGCCACGGAAAATGGAAATTAAAGTGGCAGAGCGCCGCAGCCGCTGCCGCGGCCAGTTCCAGCTCTCATCCTTTGTGTTCTTTGTATTCTCATTGTGTGTTGATACTATTTTGCATGGAAATTTTTTTGCGTTTGCCGCAACCACGTCCGGAAGTAGTCGTTGGCGTATACGTAATAAATTGTAGCCCCGGGCACGTTGCGTGCCAGTAGGAAATTGGCAGTGGCAGTCGCAGTCGCAGCCGCAGCCATGATGGAAAGACCGGGCGCTGCTGGGCTTTTATGGGGCGTTTATAATCAGCCGTACAGCTAGATAAGTGGGCGTGGCGCGCCCTCAAAGATTGACGAGGCTGCTCAATCAATTAGCAATTGATTGTGGGAACTGGAACTGTGTGTCTGAAGCCGAGCTAAATAATTTACGGAATCTCAGTGGGGTTGAATGTAGGTCGATAGGCAAAGTTTGGGGGCAAAAGGGCTGGGCTGGCTTGGACTGGACTGGGCTGTCCGATTATTAAAATCGTATTTTTAAACCGCCGCCGCCGGCTGATTGATCCGTTGCAGGCGACGGAGGCGCCTCGGCCGTATTTTGGCCATGTGAAAGCGAGGCGGACTGCACAGCTGACGGCTCCAGCTGCGACCAGGGCACCGGCCAGTGCGAGTGCCCCACCTTTGACGCGGTATTCTCGGCGGATTTCACGCAATGCCTGACGACGTCACTCATTGGTGACACATGCGACGAGACAGTTCAATGCAATCTTATGCCAACGGGAGCCAACTGTAAAGCCGGGGTTTGCGATTGCGCCGATGGCCAAACCTATTTGCGTGGCAAGTGTAGGCCATTGAACGGACTCGGCGAGTCCTGCGATACGGTGAGTGCCGCCCCTACCCAAATCTATCCCCTAAACCCTTCATTGATATTTCCGTCTGTTCTTTGTGCAGGACTTGGACTGCTACTTTGGCTACGATCGTGCATCTGTGAGCTGTCAGCAAAACGTTTGCGGCTGTGCAAATGGCTATTATAATAGATATGGAAACATATGCCGTCGCAGATCAATGGGTAAGTGGCAAGCCGGCCTCAAGTGCCGCCCATGGAGTGTGCAGCCTGACCCTTTGCCTACCCCCACAAACCACAGAAGAAAACGATGCCTGCGTCGTTAACGAGGACTGTGATGCACTAGGCGCCGGTGCCGAGTGCGTGGGTCTAATATGCACCTATGTGGACGAGATTGGCACAACACCCGACACCGGGGAGGGCGACACCGACACCACCATCACCATCAATGACAACGACAATGACACCACCATCAACACCACCATCAATGACAACGACGACGACACAACAACAACAACAACAACGACTACAACAGAGGCCATCACAGAGACAACTGAGGAGCCCACGGCGGAGACCCAGACCCCACTGTTTTTCCGGCGGCAGCTAACCAAGGCCTTCGTGCACGCCCCCCCGCCACCCACACACGTCGATGCCGCCGCCCAGGTATCCTTCTCGCTGACCAATGGCGAAACGGAGGCACTGCTTTCGCCACGTTCCCCACGCTCCCACGAGATCGCCGTGCAGACGAGCATCGAGAAGTACGAGCTGCGCGACCTGAAGCAGGTGGGACGCAGCGTGAGGCATGTCGCGACAGCCACCACCTCCACCAGCACCAGCAGCCGGAGTCGGAGTCGGAGCCGCAGCCGACGCGCCTCCAGCCACAACTATCGCCGCCACCTGCCCGCCCTCTTCCGCTTCGATGACGATGATATCAAGACATATTCAACGCTGGGCTCCAGCCGGGACGACGAGGATGCCGATGAGAAAAAGTGTGAGTTAGTCCACCTGCTTGGTGGCCAGTTAGGCTCCCAGGCTAATGCGTAATGTGTCCCCTCCCCTTCCATAGATGGCAGCAGTTGCACCGAAAATGGGCAGTCCTGCACGGGCCTGCCCCACTCGATCTGCACCAGCAAGGTGTGCCTGTGCCGGCAGGGCTACTATGCCCGGAATGGCAAATGCTTTGCGGGTGAGTGCTGAATATTCGGAGATTATTTGGGCATTTTCCTGATGCCACTGTCTGTTCCCACAGAGCTCGGCGAGATAGCAGAGAGCACGGACGAGTGCGAATACGAGTTCGATGAGCTGTCCAAGTCCTGCGTATGCCAAAAGAACTACTTCTACGAGCACGATCTGCGCAACTGCAGGAAACGTAAGTGCAGCCAGCCCTCCCTGACCCTACCTCTGACCCTCTGACCCTCTGACTCGCCCCCAACAGCCATTCAGTATCACCTGTCCTGCACATCGAACAGCCAGTGCAGTCCGTTTGGCGCCTCCTATTGCCACCCAGAGATACCCAGGCGATGCACCTGCGAGGAGTACGCCCTGTACGATGCCATCAAGCAGCTGTGCGAGTACAAGCACGGCCTGGGTGCCGAGTGCGACTCCAACGATGGCTGTCCGGTCGATCATTCGGTGTGCTCGAACCGCCTGTGCGTCTGCACGGATAACTACTTGGAGAAGGATGAGACCTGTGTGCGGGGCATTGGCGCTGAGTGCTCCGAGGATGATGAGTGTATACCAGACAATACGGCCTGTACCAGCAAGGACTCCGAGGAGCAGACACGCGCCTGCCAGTGCCGCAAGGGCTACGTTCACTTCAAGGATCAGTGCCTAAAGGAAGGTACGTATATTCATTCGTTGGCCTGCTCCCACTTGAGACTCATGCTGCCATCCTGCTTGACTCTTTCACAGCCGAGGAACTGGAGGAGGAGTGCATTGAGGATGAGCAGTGCAAGCCGCTGCTGGCCAGCTGCAGCGTGGAGGGCAAGTGCGCCTGCTCCGATGAACAGCACGAGAAGAATGGCATCTGTGAAACGAAGCGCGGTACATAATTATTTTCTAAATCCAAAGCGACACGCATTTAAGGTTGATTAATGTTCCATAGAACTGGGGGAGTCCTGCACAAAGGCCACCGAATGCCACGTCGAAAAGGATCCCGAGAATGTGGAATGCCGCAACTCTGTCTGCCAGTGCAAATTCGGCTATCAGGCGAACACGGAGCAGAAGCAGTGCATACGCGTAATGCCCAATAAGAAAAGTGAGAATTATTTAATATTTATGCTGGATTAGGTTTGAAATCTTTGTGCTCTGCCCCCCCCACAGATTCTTCCGGTAGACCCAGTGCTCTCAAAATCATCACCTTCATGCTGATCGGCTCCGCATTCCTCATCACCAGTGCGGCCATTAAGCAGGCCTACTACTGAAGAGATATCCGAGACAGACCAAACACCAAAACAAAGACCCAAAGCCCAATCGATTGGAGCGTTGTGAGGAGCAGAGGCACTGATGGGGATCAGAAACTGTGTCTCCCACTTCTGATTTTGGGTGGCGTGGCGTTGAGTGGAGCTGCCAGTATTAGCCAAGTAACTGGCATGGATTGAGATTGGATCCGTGGCCAACGTGCATAGAAGTCATGTAGTCTTTAAGCTGATATTTAGGATTCGAAGCAATAACTGGGGACGGGACGAACACTGGACGTTGGGGGGACTCTCGCTTACACCATACGTATAATACGAATAACAATAATTACAAATTAGCCTAAGTTTCAAGTTTAACTGCTTTAGCTTGCCAATCAGGTGCTGGGCTAAGCAGACAGTTTTAACCGAATTGTAAAATACATCACAATAAACTAAGGCCAACGGATAAGTCATGTTAAAATCAGAAACCTGCGCCGCTTTAATTTAACTATTTACTCCGGCTGATACGAGACTTGATCAAGGTATTGAAAGTGAGTTAAGAAGTGGGAAAGCCTTGGCAATTTTTTAAAAACTTGTTTCCTTTTCGAAAACCAACGACAAAGCAAATAAGAAATTTCTGAGAATCAAAAAACAAAAATGTGTCGTGTGCATGACGAGTTAAATTGGCGCTCTCGACTCTCGTTTTGTTTGCCTGCTCTCAAACTCAGAAATCCAAACTTTGGATCCCGATGCATCAGTATGGAACCTTTTATTTACCTTTTATTTCAGAATTTTATCAAATTTACAAATTAAATGGGAGAAATTCGTCGCTCAGGTTCCCAAATATATTACGATCCCTATGAATTGTTGTTGGAATTCATTGATGCATTCATTAAAAAAGTATTAGACTTACATACAAGTCGCAGTCGGTCACTACAGATAGGACAGATCGTTGGTGTGGCAATGTAATATAATATAGTAGATATATTAACGGGGAACGTAGGGTATTTCAGTGTCGAGGCAGTTGAACTGTTTAATCTAATTCGCTGACAGAATTATCAATTTTGGCCTCTTACAAGCTGTCGTCTGTTGATTGGCACCTGGACAAAACTGACTCATTATCAGTTGTAGTTGAGATTGGCTCTACGGCCCGATAATCTTTATGTGCCCCGCAACTCAAGTGATCAAAATTGGTCCGTTTAATTTTTCTGATGTCTCTAGTCTAGATCTATGGGGGGTGTGTGTGGCGTGCGAGTCTTTGTTTACGCTGAGACTTTTTTGCTAATTGCAGAAAAAGTCCCTTATTGGTTATCACTCGATGGGAGATATGCATTGACGGGAAATCGTGCGATTCCCTAGCTTATCGGTGATGTTCCGATTGAGTTCGAAGTTCGATTTGGTGTTTCCAACTCGATCCTAGCCATCCTGAGGAGAGCTGTCAGCCCGACCTGGAGTTAATTCCAAAATACCAATCAACAGAGACAGCTGCTGATTTGTGCCCGTAAAATTTCCAGTCTCACGATGTCGAACCCCTGCCAGTGCCATGTCTGGCATGCCGATATAGACACCATGTAAGTGCGATTGCCTACGCCCAGAGGGCTGCCAGCCTCAATGCCAGTTCTCTCACCCCCAGAACACAATCCGCCGAGTCGGATGACAAGAAGAACGAAATGTTCGCTGATCTGAGTCGGTGCGTCTGCTGTGCCGAGAACCGGATGCTGCGCACCAAGCTCGCGCGATGCGAGGCGACCATTGCGAATCTGGAGTTGTTTGTGAATACCATGATGACCAAGCAGGAGAACATTTTCAAACACATCGACAAGCTGCGCCAGTTCCGCGACTACATTGACGAAGAGCTCGCCGAGGACGTTCCCGTAGAGAATCCAGGACAGAGCGGCGATGACCATGACAGCCTTGCCAATGTGAATGTCGAGGACGACGGCGAATGGGAGGTACCCGGCACGTGCATGTGCGTGCCGACCAGCTCGCAGCCGCTGCCTTCCGAAGCTGCCACATCGCAGTCGTCCTCCGAGTCGGATGGCGATGACGACTTCTTGGAGACTCTGTACATAGAGCGCCCCTCGGACACTGAGAGCGATGACAACTAAACTACATTCATATATATATTTATGTACACCTATTGTTCTTTATCAAATAATTAGTCTGGGTTCGTCTTAAAGCTTTATGTCCTTTATCCTTGATGCTACACACATCTGCGATCCTCCAGCTGCAGCCAGAAATCGGGTGTAGTGATTATTAGGCCATTCTGATTCTTGGACAGATCGGGCAGCTGGTCACCGGGCGCCAGCACAAAGTTGAAGTTCTGGCACATGGCCGCCGTCATGAGGAAGAGCATGTTCCGGGCAAAGGTCTCGCCCGCGCAGAGCCGCTTGCCCGCCCCAAACGGAAAGGATACGTCCAGCTTGAGGCAGAGCTCGCCCTGGTCGTCGAGGAAGCGCTCGGGACGGAAATTCTCCGGATCTGACCAGATGCGCGCATCCGAGTGATACGCATAGAGACTGGGCACCACAATGGTGTCCTACGAGAGAGGGAGCAGAGAGCAAAGGTGAAGGTGAAGGTGAAGGGATTATCGGCATTGGATCGGCGGCGCCACTTACTTTGGGTATGTGGTAGCCGAGCAGTTCGGTGTCGGCCAGTGCCTTGTGCGGCACATCGGAGGGCACCAGTGTCTCGATGCGCATGCATTCGCGGATGGTGGCCTCTGTGTAGTGCATGCTCCTTCGATCCTCGAGCGTTGGCAGGCGGCCACAGCCCACCACCTCGTCGATCTCCTGCTGGATGCGCTCCGTGACCGCGGGGTACAGCATCAGGTACTGGATGAGCAGCGAGAGCTGCACGCCGACGGCTGTGAAGGCTGGAATGGAGAAGTCGAGGAGGCCCATGATGAACTGCTCCCGGTTGAAGCCGTAGCCCGGACAGCACTTCATCTCGCTGATGTAGACATCCATGAAGTTTCGCTCGCTTCCCTCCTCGTAGCTCTCGGTATAGCGGTCCACGATCTCCGCAAAGAACTCGCGCATAAACCGATTCGACTCGTTGAGCTTCCTGTAGCCACTCCACTCCGGCCAGACGTGCCGTATCCATGGCATGATGCTCAGCAGCCGGCCGTAGTCGTCCGCATGCCGCTGGAACTGCATTCCCATCTGGACGAGGCGCACCAAGCCGGCCATGTCCGCTCGCGTCTGTCGCTCGTTGTACACGATGTGGAAGTGACAGTTCACCGAAAACGGATTGAAGAGCAGCGGCAGCTGCACCCTGTAGCCGCCCGGCTTTACCAGCTGATGCTCGTGCGGGTACTTTGGTCCGTTGCGTATCATGTCCAGCATGTCCGTGATCTGCTCCTTGATGACCAGCTCCAGTTCATCAAAGCGACGGCCGAAGCCAAAGTCACGCAGGTAACGGAGTATGAAGCGTCGCTGCTCCTTCCACAGTGCACCCTCCTGGAAGAAGATTCCTGTGCGAATCCAATCGAATATAATATAATTTAATTTAATATTCAATATTTAATATAGTAATCCGATTGCGAGACCCATTCCTCACAGCTAGAATAGGTGTAAAATCTTATCATATCATTACCTAGCCCAACGCAGGCCAGGGGGGATCTTGGAAGAAATCAAAAGTAAACTACTCCTCGTACTCATAAGTAATTCTATTTTAAGATCGCAGCACCATCAACTAGTTTCAATGGAATGATAAGAATGTTTTCCTGCTGCCTCTTTGGCAATTAATAAGCAATTGACACGAATAGTATTTGAAGTGGTCTTATCAGCGCACAGGGCACTAAGGCATCAATCGGAGGATCGACTTAAACTGCTTACCGCGAACTTCGTCGCCGGGGTCGCGCATGGCCGCCAGGAAGATGCCGGGACGTCCATCGAACACCTGATTGTTGAGCACCTCGCGCACGCCCTCGCCACTGTGGACCACGGCCACGGGATACTTGCCCACGTAGAGGCCGATAATGTCCGACTTGTACCATCTGGTCAGTGTGAGCGCCGCCTTGTGCAGGTACTTGAAGTTGATCAGCAGCAGGAAGAGGTAGCTGCCAAAGAAGGGGATTCGCGGCGGACCTGCGGAGATTCTTGCAATTAGCTGCGGCTCCAAATGGTGGCGCAGCCAGACACTAACCCGGCGGGAAGCCGACTGCCCGACCTACGGCATATCGGTACGAGAGATATAGCAACGCTGCTGAGCAGATCGTCAGGAGTAGTTCGGTAAGCATTCTGCTGCTTGCTTGGACACCGACTGAACCTGTCAAATCTCTGCCGCTGCGTTTTTGTAGGTGCCACTGGCCTGATAATCCACACACGCGCGCACACTGTCGCAGCCACAAGTCGCAGCAATTAAAAACAATGCCCATTTATATGTGTATGTACATAGATCGGCGCGTGTGTGTACATACTGGATGTATGTCGATCGATCGATCGAATGGAATCGATCTGTGTGTTAGTGGAGGACTTTGGAATTTCTCATTTCTGTGTATAACTTAAGACGAGTTAAATATTATTTATTAGTTATTATTAATTCATATTTAATGCAAAGCGCGAAATTTAACTGTCACTGGAGTAGCAGGAAATCATGAGGCGTCATTTGTCGGCGAGGTGAGATCAATCTCAATTATAGATGTCGGCACAACATTGCTGCACCTCGATTTCGCTCTCTGATTGCCGCATGGGGTAACTGGAGCGGTCTTGGCCACCTCCTGGACCGAAAGGAGCTGCCGCCATTTGCTGGCATTGTCGCTGCGGGTGTGCAGACACCGCCACAGCGTGTGCAGGCCGTTCGTTTCGTTGCCGTCCAGATCGAAGGGTATCCACTTGGTCGCGCCGTCCTTGTCCCGCACTACGCTGATACCTTTGAGACGCGCGGGCAATGCCTCGTGGTTGATGTACGTACCCGTTGCTTGCTTAAGCGTGTGCATGCTGCCGAAATAAACAAAAAAAAAAAAACAAAGAAAATTTCTTTCTGGATCATATTTGGAGGGGGAGGGGACGGAAACAAACCAGTCCATCAGCTCGTTGCTGCGTAGCTTGACCTCCGTCGTGTGGCGCAACAGCTGCGCCTGCATGTCCGCGTTATGCTGCCGGGTGGCGTCGAGCTGCTGCTTCAATGCCTCTCCCAAGGCGAATCTCCGTTCCAGTTCCTGGCTGCGCTTCATCACCACTATTCGCAGCTTGCCAAAGTCGCGTTGCTGCCGTTCGATGGCCTCTTTGGCGACGACTGTAAAATGCATTAAATACATATACTCCTGCAATGGCCTAAATGCTAGCGGGCGGGGACTCACTAAGATTGCTAAGGACTCTAGAGCTACGTTTGCTGATGGTCGCCTCGCGGTTTTCCGTTCGGATTTCGTTGCGGAAGATTTGCTTGAGGCGGCCGTGGTAGTCGGATGGATCTATATCGCGCGATTTCAAAACGGCCATGTCGGTCATGGCTAACTTTTTGTTTATTTTTTTAAAACAGAGCGGCGACGTTTATTTGTATTTTCCAGGCGTTTGTTCTGCTTATGACGCTTCGATATATCAATATATCGATACTTCCAGTATACTTGGCGCTGCCAGACCGTTATAAAAAGAAGTTCAGGCTGCAGTCGATACTTGGCGCCCTTTATGCTCTTATTTTGAACATTAAACATTATTTTCTCAAAAAATCTAATAAAATAGAGTCCAATCTCTAGAATATTAAATTATTCAGTACGGAGAGTTCTAATTAGCTAGTAATATAAATCCGTTTTTTACCTCTTTAAATAGTATCGGGTGGGGGTTAAGTGTGTTAAAAATTGTATTTTTCCTCGGTATATTTTGGTATATGTATATTTCGGTATAATTTATCGATAGTCCCGCTAATATTGAACTATCGGTTGTTTTACGGTCACACTGTTGGGAAGTCAAAATTAGCAAAAAATTAAACAAATTCAAATCGAATTTGCTCTGTCAGTGCCCAATTTTAAGGTAGCATTTTACTTTCAATCTGCTACCCGTGTGCCGGTTAATGCGTTTGCTGTACAGCGCCCAGGCCCTACGCAGATTATTCTCCCGCAGTTACAGCAGCCGCATTGGAAAGGTGAGAGCCAAAAAACCGGTGCCAAACGAGTTGAGAGTCCAAAAAGAGGTTTATTTGTATTGAAATTGATCGGTCTAACTGATGGCCATCCAAAAACAGCCGACGACGCACCAAATCGCTTGCTGACGCCGCGCAAAAAATTATTTTGGCAAACAAATGCGATGCTAAAAATAACCCGCAAAAAATTTGCATAAACAGCGCAACGCAACCAAGATAATATTCTTGTGGAGAAGACGGACGCTCCGGCCGAGCAGCGCGCTGCAATTTCCCGTTCCACAGACCATCGATATGGGGACCACCCGCAAAGCGGTCAACGACCCATTTGTTGGTTCCGTTACGCTCGTTCAAGGTCACCACCAGGTTCTTGGGCGTTCCTCTCTTTTCACTAATCTCGTGAAACGATCTCCAAAAGAGAACGTACATACATACGTATATGTATGTGCACGTCTTAAATATGTGGAGTCACTCAAGTACAGTATGCTCCACAAAAATTGAAAAATCTAGTGCATAAAAACGATGCAGGGTATCCCCTTATTTATCTACTAGACACCAGCTGGTGTTCCCCCTGAATCCCATGTTCACTTTTGTTTCTGAGATCAATGTTCACTTTTCGCCCTCTTAGAACTGCCATACAAGTCGGAAGTAGCTATACGCCAGCTGCCATTGGAATCATCGGACTGTAAGCATCCGCTTTTCATTGTAGATTCGCTAGGGTGAATTATGTTCGTGTAAAACATCTTTAATTGCCTGTAACGACATTCTTTATAGCTTTAAAGCACACACATATCTATCAGGGCGCATTCGTGCGTTGATTTATGTGCGGACAGCATCAATTGAGTGTGTGGCCTGGGCAAAGTCGTCGACTGATAACGATGTGGGGCACTTTGCAGTGTGGTAAATCAGAGATTAACTCTGATTAGATACGAGCACGCAGCTAATCGCACAGCTTAACGTGTTGCCCACCAACAAACTAACGCATTCCCATTCTGCTGCTCTTCCAGATGGCCACGGACATCAGAATTAACGCCTCGCTGAGCGCCAGCGATCCGCAGGCGCACCCGGTGCTGATCATCGGCCAGCTGCGTCACCTGAATCTCCTGAAGTTCGACAACCTGTCCAGCAAGCTGTGCCCGCGGGTGACCGAGGAGACCTTCCTGAATGCCATTGCCTGCCTTCATCCGGCGCCCACGGACAAGGTGTCGCTGTATCTGGACGTGGCCACAGTGGCGTCACTCCCATTGAAGGCGTCGCGGCACAATACCGCCTCGCGGGCCCACGCCATTACGCGTCTGGTGAAGAACCATGTTCTCAACGTGAGCGAGGAGAGCGTGGTGCTGGTCTGTGAGCGCGAGAACATCTTTGCCAGCGCCTGTGCGGTGGTGCGGGCCTTCCCGCTGTACTCCCGCAAGACGGGCAACGGCGCCCAGGCCAAGTCCGCCCCTGGGGGATCTGGATCTGGCGACGGAGACAACAGCCGCAACGTGGTCAACGTGGAGTTCGTTGTCATCGACAAGGACGGCGGCATTGAGAGCGACCCGCTCACCGCAGATGAGATCAAGTGCCTGAACGAGACTGCCCGTGGCATTCGGCTCACGGCCCGCATTGTGGACATGCCCTGCAACGAGATGAACGTCGATCACTTTGTTCAGGCCATCGAGGAGATGGCCCAGGAGCTGTCGCTGGAGCCGCAGATCATACGCGGAGAGGAGCTGCGGGAGCGCGGCTTTGGTGGCATCTACGGCGTGGGCAAGGCAGCCGCCGTACCCCCCGCACTCGTTGTGCTCTCCCACCAGCCGAAAGGCGCCCAGGAGACCATTGCACTGGTGGGGAAGGGCATCGTCTACGACACTGGCGGCCTGAGCATCAAAAACAAGACGGGCATGCCGGGCATGAAGCGTGACTGTGGAGGTGCTGCCGCCATTCTGGGCGCCTTCTACGCGGCGGTCAAGTGCGGATTCAAGGATAATCTGCATGCGGTCTTCTGCCTGGCCGAAAACTCGGTGGGGCCTAACGCCACGCGGTACTTGACCATCCGTTGTCGATCTTTTGAATTCGTTCCAACTAATTGTTCCCTTCCATTTGCAGTCCCGATGATATTCACACTCTGTATTCCGGCCGCACAGTCGAGATCAACAACACGGACGCCGAGGGCCGCCTGGTGCTGGCCGATGGCGTTTGCTTTGCCAACAAGGATCTGAAGGCCAACATTATCCTCGATATGGCCACGCTGACAGGCGCTCAGGTGAGCATTGGTTTTGTCTTTTGTGATAGATATAGATGGACGGGTGCTAGATACATATGTATATATTTTCCTCTTAAAAATGCTTCGATTAAACTGACTAAGAACCTGCAGCAAAATCAATGTCGGTTTTCTGTTATGAGTAACTACGGTTTATAAACATTTATAGCCACACCATCCGCGCACAACAGCATTCATTATTTGTCAGCATTTTTATCTGCTTTTTATCTACTTAAATATGCATCTGCTACAAAAAGAATACTTTTTTTTATTGGCATTAAAGCTCAAATGAAATGAAACGAAGAGAGGAACAGAAAAACATCTCAGTTCGAGCGTTGTATACTCGAGACACTCGGTCGTCTTATTATCTAATTTATTAAGAAATGAGTTTCAGATTTCAACTCCAAGAAAGTAAACGATTCAACGTTAACCGCCTGATTTGACCTTGAGTTTTGATTATTTTGGTTCATACTTACTAACAAATTTACGTTTCCATTTTAATATTCAATGAGAAATTTAGCATTAGCACTTGTACATATATTTTCATAAATCACAAAAATAGAATCAAAAAAAAATCCAAATAATATTTTATATCCTTTGGATTCCACTAGCTTTCGCTTAAACTGCTGTAGGGGGTGGTATAATTCTCTCAGATGCGAAGCCAACAAATTATTTTGCTAATGTCCAAAGTAGTTGCCGTTTCAAGATCCACCTACCTGGCCTTGGCTATTGGTTTGTGCCACCGCCTCCGCTGCCTCCTTGTGCGAGAATTTATGCCACGCTTTATAAAAGTCACGAGGTTAATTGGAAAAATAAATTGCAAATTTGGTTTTTTCGCCGGCAACTTGGAGGAATACTAGCAACAGCAGCATTCCCAGAACCACAACAACAGCAAGAGATTCGATTGTGGGTTTTGTTGTTGTTGCCCCTGGGTAAAGCAGCAGATGGGTGGTGGCTGCTGGG